GTCCGGAAGTCCGCCATCGATAGAAACGGTCTTTGCAACCGTCTCCAGCGCGACGCGTCGCCCGTTAACGCGATTGGCACGATCTGCACCAAGGCCGTTTCGTCTGATGCTCCCAACGCGGCTGCATACGCGTCTAAGTCCTGTAAGAAATCGTGAACCGATTTCCCGTCGGAATATCCCGCGTAGGTCGGCGTCGGTACGGACAATCGCGGTCGGGGCAGAGACATAGGCGCGGCACTCGCGACTCCTGGAGTCGTCGCGATTTGTCGTGAGAACGTCTCCATCATCGCCGTCATGGCGCGCATAAACTCGCCGACGTCTGCCGCGCCTCCAGCTGGAGCTGGTGGTAAAATCCCAGCATCTGGAGATGCTCGCGTACTACACTCTAAGAAAAAAGGGAGGAGAAAGGTAGCAAAAGCGACTGTTCCTCCTTGTTGCGTACAAGTTCCCAGAGAAGGGAGGAACGCCAGTTCAGATGAAAGGAGGAGGGCGAGTTCCTCCTTGTTCAGTTGGCGCAGGGGTAGAACATCGCGCTACTGACCAAGTGGTCAACGGTTCGATCCCCAGAAAAGTGCGGTTTTTTTTGTTGTTTTTTTTTGTTTTTTGTAAAGTTTTTTTTAAATTTTTGTTTACCAAAACACACATAAACAAACCCAGACCGATGAAAGGAAAATTAGAGTCCTTAATATTCTCCGAGACGTTTTCCTCCTCCAGGCAGACCGGAGAAAGCTTTCGCCCTCCCGACCCATCTTCTTTCGGTTTCGTTTTTCGAGCACATCGCGCACGTTGTTTAATAAATTAATGTTGAGTTCATTGAGCTTCAGCGGCAGCAAAGGCCACCTGTAATTCCGTCTTCTAGTCCAAACGTGCAGAACATTTCGATTGCATTGACGTTTTTACCACTAATTTTATCAAACGAGCTAACGAAGCCGCTAGAAACAGCGAAGTTCCGGAGCAGTGCCAGCAGCGCTACATACACTGGGTAAGACGGCCGTCTCCAATTTGCGGGACACACGCGGAACTACAGCAGCGAAAGCACGAGGAACTGTGTCGACGTTTTCGACGTTATGGAAATCGCGGGAACTGCGTCCAAGGAAGGCAGGTTTTCCTGCCGGCTGCCTGGGTGCCTTCCGTGCTGAGTTCGGTTCCGGTGTCCCGTGCCGAGGGCCAACCGGCGTTCAACGTGATGCTTCTGCGTGTCAGCAACATCGCCAACGTGGTTCTGTATTTCTTCGTGTCAGCGACATCGTGATGGCAGTGTTGTGGGTTGTGAACAGAAGACTGGAATTATCGCCGATGTGACCGTGTGTTCGCGTATCAGTGGTGTAACAACAAGATGAGATGACGTAAACTGTCGGGCATTGATGCCGCTGGTCGGGCCGTTATCGGAGGGGCCGGGGTGTCGCAGGATGACATTCCGCTTTACATTAAAGAGTTTAAAACCACTTGAGGGATTAGGTGCAGTCGATCGACGAGTGGATAGTCATGTTGGAACGCTGGTCTGAACGGTAAGCTCCTATCGTACAGTGGCCAATGGGACTGTCGGTCCCCGAGAGCGATCGCGCTCTGGGGAAAAGACAACACTACGAAAGTATGACGGAAAGTACGTATATTTATAATGGAAGTTTAGCATTAAAAAAAAGACAGGCAAAATCGAAAAAAAAACAAAAAACGCTATCCTTTATTTTACTGTTTAAATATATTACGGTTCCTGTAGAAACTGCCCTCTAAGTGGCGCGCTGGGATGAGCGCTAGAAGTTTTCGAGCTCGCAACGGCGCAGCTCCGTACACTTAATAGTTGTCGGAAGTCGCGGCTTTGACTGCATTCAAGTTGATCGAAAAGCGATTTCTGTGCCCGTGAAGCATCACTTCCAGCTGAGTGGATATCCGCTCTACAGAGATTAATTCAAGACGGCAATTGCAGCTTTGGGCGAACAGCACAAATAGAAAAACGAACACTACAATATAAATACTGGCTACGAAGGGCCATGCGGGAAAACAAACTCATGGCTTAGAACCACATTGGAGCGGCTCGAGTTATTGGCTTTCAAATAATTATGGCATGATCGAGCGTCTTCTTTTTAATAAGAGATTCATCCCCTGAGCCATTAAAAATAGCCTCAGATGTATGACATTGCTGGAAAAAAATGAACATGTTCGAAATAGTTTTTTTTGCTTAGGGAGTCACCGAAAAATTCCGTACGTTCAAAACGACCACTATAAAAGACGGAAACGCAGGGCTCGGTAGTAGTGATCGGGGTAGTGTGCCGTTGTATTGATGTCTGTATGTGCGATGCCTGTGTATGCGTTGAATATATGTTGACCTGATGTTTGTAGTGTGCGCAACGTGTCTACATGTGTTAGAGATTCCGAAAAAAAGGAAACGCAATTGTGGCGTCAGAAAATAAAAATATTTTTTGTAAAACATGAATTGGGCGGTACCTAGCGCCACCTAGCCTAGCTACGTGCGATTACTCTGCTTGACCCTGCCATCTGGTGGCAAGCGATTTAACATCCTTTTACGCTACGCGGCTACGCCATAATTTCGTGTTACCGTGCTGAGATAAGCCAAGAGGTTGCTTCGGATTTGCTTTTTTTTTTAGAGCGGCTTTTGGTTTTGCGGGCGAATGATGTTCACTCCTCCGTGATGTGCGGTTGACGCAACGGTTGACGAAGGAATTGTGGCTCGAGGAATAGCAAAGGTAGGACATAAAGTGCGCGAACTGAGTGCCGGTTGTCTCCGTTGAACATCGCAGTGCTGACGATGAGAAGACTGAGTGACTGCATGCTTTCGAAACGTAAGTTTCTTTACCTGCAGGGGTAAAGAAACTTCGGAAATAAATACAGTTCGCGGAAAGCTCGTGTTACGTTTTTATTTCCTGCTCCTCTCGCTTCGTGCAATAGACTTAGTGTTCTCGTTAAGCCTTACCGAGCTCGATTTGCTCGATTCGTGGCCGCCATAATGAGATGCAGTCGACGGAGGAACTTTTCATCCCCTGCTTAAGGGACGAAAGTTTCTCCCTTTCTGAAGGAACATATGTGTCAAGAGCGTTCCTCCCTTTAGGGAGGACTATACTGACCCTTTTTTCTAAGAGTGTAGAGCCTTCTCCGGCCCCCGCAGCGTCAGTCGGTTCCTGAGTTCCGCTCTCCAACGAGTCGTCCTCGTCCCTATTGGGGGTCGACCTCGTCTTGGGGGGCATCGTTAGCGTTTACCCTTCTACACCACGCTGAACGCTCAATAGATCTGTGTGACTCCCCGGGACGAACAGAACAAGCAGCAGACCAATCGGGCCCCACGTTGGAAGCGCCAGTTGTGTGGGTCGCTCTACTATACTGCTGCCCAATCGGTCCCTGCCTGGTCCGCCCTCCCAAGAAGTCACACGAGCAAGAATGAATTCAAAACGTTTTACTGTTTCGGCTGGTTGCTGTAGCCTTGCCGTTGCAGTCCTCGTCCGTGTGTCTTGCCCCAGTGCCTGGCGGAATCCTCGTGCACTCTCGCACGCGCACCGGGCCGCCGGCCACCGCTCCTGCCCCCTGCGCGCCGTCGTCCTCCTCGGCTTCCCACAGCATTGGCCGTCATGAATCGGCTTCAACACCGGACTCCTCAAAGTTTATTACAATTGTAAAAGTAATGTCTCAGGTAGAAAATGTTACACAATTACAGAACTAAATTAATGTTTGATTAGGCTTAAGCAAATAAAAAAGGCTACACATCATGTTGCGGGGACGCAAGAGCGATTGCCTCGCAGCTGGGTGTCACCGCTGCTTTTACGAACACGATGCATTTGGGAATGTTCTGATCTGAAACACACGCGCCGACTGCCGTAAATGGGCTGGAGCCTTCCAGAACAGAAAAGTTGGTTGATATGAAAAACCGGGCTGAGTGGGGGCCTAACCACGCTCCTCCACGTGGCAGACATGTTCGTTGCCAACTTCGCCACGCACGCATCAATGTGTTCTTCGTAAAATATAGATGATTGAATAGTTACTTGTGCGAGTGGCTACAAAGTATAAATATAGTTTCCTAAAGGATCCAACTTAATTTCCAACTAAAAAAAAGCGTAAATGTAAGCATTTTTGTATTACTTCTGACGTTAAGCATGTATAGGCGAAGAAAGGCAGCGCTATGGGTTTTTTGCAATTTCTTAATGCGTCTTTCTTCTCTGTAATTCTACCCTGAGTTTCACGACCCCTTTGCGTTAAACCTTCGGCCATCGCAACTGCGAAAACTCCGTAGAGTTAGTCATCGCAATTTTCATACACCTCTCTCACCAAATTCTAACTCTATTCGTCAGTTGTGAATCGGCGCTCTTTTAATTATTTTCATATAATCACAGCTGCGGGGTTTCGTTTACACCTCCCCCCTTTTCCCCATCTAGTGCAAATCGTTTAAACTGTGACACTAAATATGGTCAACTCGAAGTAGTCCAGAAAGATGGGCGGCCCTAAATAGACGCACGGTTCCGTGGAACTATTCGCGTTTTACGTGATTGTGCATTCCTTACACGTGTAAAGCTACCTAATGCATATTCTATTGACGCGGCATGTCAGTTGTTACTATATTCGTATATGGTGGATACCGCGTATGCTAAAAGCCGTGGAAAGTACGATTCAGGAAGCAGAGTTGTGTAGAAGCTGTAGTCACTGACAGGATTAGAACGGCAGGGCGTGTCTTTCAAACTCCCTGCTTCCGACAAGAGCTTTATGCTTTCCACCGCGCTTTGCTTTCCGCTGTGCTTTCAAGTGCACGAGACGGCGAAGCGTTGAAAAATGCAGGAAGTTCGAGCTTGAAGTTGGACAACTGAAGCTCCTCTCGGCCGCTCTTGCCTTGTCAGTGGCTCTAATGGATCGTGATCAAAGAGCACGCCTACTCAATAAGTTCAGCTCAATTGAGTCACACAAATGTCGAAGTGTCGATCCGTACAAGTGATTTCGAATCAACAAGCGGAAAGCTGTAAAGCGTTTGCTTCTTCTTTTTTTTTTTTACATTTCCTTTGCAGATTAAAGTACAAATAGGAAGTAACGAAGAAAGACCTTCTGAGATGGCGTTCGGCCCAATGGAGTTTACGAGCGGAGCTTGTCAAGTCGTCACCGACACCTTGGGTAAACAAATCAAGCGTGTTTCTTTGTTAAAAAAACTACGTTTGCATGGAGATAAAGTTAGCTTATTTCATCTAGCCCACAAAGTCCCTGTTTGTTGACTGACTGCGTTCATGTAAACTGTGTTTCATAGATTCTTTTCAAGTTACGATGACAGAAATCTCCAGATATAACATGCATGTCTAGTTTAAGGGAGAATAAATTACGGAAGCCACGCCATGTAAACGTTCTCAGTGAACAATACCCGGCGAAAGCTTGGCTAACCTTGGTGGTTCTGAAAAAACAGCCCAGAATATGTATAAAGTAGTACAACGGAGTAAAATCTTAATATATACACTAAAGTGTTGAGTCATCTTTTTAAACATAAATTGTTAAAGTATTAGTATGTTATCAATTAGTGTCTGATGGGACGATACACAAAAACAAAAAAAGGTCTATAAGTTCACTTTCCTCCAGAAAGCGGATGCAGACAATCCCTGCGAACAATACAAGGCTCACAGTGAATGACGGCGTTCGCAGTACGAAGAGATCTAAGAACGGCAATGTGCTTAGGGTCAATGAGCAAGCCAGACGTTATGCTCACTGTACCTGCGCAGATCGTATATTTTTGGGTCTAATCATGCTCTGAACCTTGTCATTCGCCGGATTCCAGCCGCTGTTCGCAGTATTTGATTTTTTTTTGTATGTGCGTGTGTTCTGTGGGAAAGTTAACTCAGATTGGTTTTGGAGTGTAGGCATCTACATGCAGACGCATTGTTCGTCTTAAATGGACACTGACTGAGAATTTATGGTCGCCAAGCTTTTTATTTGTAACTGGCGCATGAGAGCCTAACTACCCAGAACAGAATTTGCGGCTCTAAATTTGTTTTATTTCTGCCCGAAAACCGCCGATCCGGAACGGGCCGGCTTGGGTCGCGCTCACTCTCTTCCCCGTGGTCGCGTGTCGTTTTCTTTGGTTCAGACACAACCACAGTATATAATCAAATGTCGTCGGTCATTGAATAAACACACTCAAGATTAAAAATAAAAAAAAAAATACGAGATTCATTTTTTGTGACTTCAAAAAACTGCAAATACGATGATTGAAAAAAATAGAGAAAAAAAAAGTTCCAGTCACGTGATTCCTGGCAAATTCTCTTCCTTTATAATTCTTCCTCCCCAGTTTAATTTCGGTTTCAAGCAGTTGAAATTTTTTCTTTATCAAAATGTAGGTGACGTTGTAGCAAGATATTCATGGGGTACACTTCTGACACCATTACAAATCGCCTGGCAAAAAAAAAAGTTTTTTTGGACGGTGCCAGTGTCCCTTTAAGGTCCACCGAATTTCGACTTCTGCTCGTGAGCTTTCTTATCTGATTCTTGCAAACGGGTGACTGGGAGGTGCTCATCGCACAGTGGCGTATCCGGAAAACCTTGTACAGTCGATTAACAGGCCGATTTGGACACTCTGAATGGTGCATTTGCATGTACTTTACATGGCATGTATTACAGGGGAAGATAAAAAGAGAGGGAGGGGAGGCTTAGTAAGACACGCCTCGGTGATTCACGCGCTAACCTTCAGCTGACTCCCCGATTTGCTTACGCTTGTCATGTGAGCAAAGGCTAGCGCGTGAATCACTAAGGAATGTTATCGTAAGCGCCCCCCCCCCCCCCCTCCGCCTTTCCTCTCCCCCTCCCCGTAAACATGGCGATGTGACAGCATTGAAAACTCGCCAATGAGATTGCCGATGTTAGCCGGTTGACTTAGTTTACGAGCTTTTTCCGAATAAGCTTCCCGGTGTGTTAATGAGCAGCAGCAATGACAATATGCAGCGGTCTGTCGCACACTCAAAAAGGAATTATCAAACGACAGACTTTTTTGCCTAGAGCCGCCAGTTTACATGTGACCGGCGATTCGTATGGTTCCTAATGGAATACAAATCTCGTTGCAGAACAGAACTCGTTACCAAACTCTCATGTCCGTATGCACATCCGATTTTGTTCTTCGTTTATCGCCTTTACAGGTTGGTGCGACTTCGAGTACGACACCTGCGGATGGACCTTGAGTGATCCCAGCAGCGGCTGGAGACGCCAGTCGAACGGCGAGAAATTTGTACACTCCCACACCCGCTCAGGACCACCCGATTCAAGTGAGCCCCGCCGATTGTACCCTGTGCCTTTTGTACGGATTGTACTTGAACGTCCTGATGAGGGTAATGCAGCCCCAAATACCGAGGAACACCAGCATTCTCAACCAGCTACGTCATAGTAGTCCAGTAATGCGAGCATCGGCATGCGTGGCGCCCTTGCTAAACTAATTTATAAAACCTCTCACCGTTACTGATCATGTGAGCAAAAAATTGAAAACGGCAGGGAAGAGTTTTAGTTGTTGCGCCACCAGAGCGAGGTTCTTATATCTTCGATATCGCATCGGCGTCTGGTGGACCTCGAGCGCGCAGATAAAGCACGACGGAAAGCATCGAGCCCGTGCGGCACTCCAAGAAATCTGAAACGTCTGCATCTCCCGCAAAGCACTTTGGAGATCCAATTGCTGGAATCTACGGAAGGCGCTCAGCGAATGACAAGGCTGGTGGTACATTCCGACCCCCCCCCCCCCCCTCTTTCCCCTAAAACAAATTAGAAAAGAAAGACGTTTACAACTTCCTCTAATTCGGAATTAGAGCGCAGCTGTTGAGGAGAAGGAGGGAAGGGTACTGATGGGAGGGTATATCCGTCTTCCTCATCCGTACCCTCTCCTCCTCCCGTGCTCCTCGCCTCATCCTCTCCTCCTCCTCCTCCTCCCCTTTTTTCCTCCTCCTCCTGCTCCTCTCTTGAGCTATTTCGGTTTTGTGATATACCGTGCTGAACAATCTGAGGAGTACATATATGTAAACCGGGTGATATTTTTTAGTCGAAACAGATTTATTACAAAAACTGCGTAAAAGATGCATTAATACGGTTTATGAAGGTGAGTTATACGGCCAGGGGGACATTATATGTGTGGCTAATCGTTGCGATAAGTCGGCTAATTAATTAAAATTCATTAATTAACTTTTTAATTAATGAAAATAGACATATGCTTTCAATTAGAAACTTAGAGAGCGTTATCGAAAACCACTAAATGAACTCTTTTTAGAACGACTTGAATCTCGAGGGAAACTCGGGGGCGCGCCAAAGTTACCACTCGTGAAGCAGGCGCAAATGTAGATGTGGCGGAACGCAATAATGATCTAACCACCCGCGTTCCGCCGCTGCAAGCTTACAGCGCAGACAATATTTTTAGGTTTAAACATATTACCAGCCCCATCATTCGCCAAGCGACCTCCATATATTGCAACGATTGGCTGCCCCAAGTGCTTTGGAGAAGAGCAGAATCTCCAGATTTATCCGAGTGACAGAGGCCGGACCTTCGAAAGACACGCCGAGCCGTTCTCATTGTGTCAGTGACTATAGTAGAAGACACCGCACGATATATATTGATCCTCACTTCAGCTAAACAAACGTTTATTTGCCTATGCAACACAAAAAGTATGTGTGCAACTGGATTTCCACGATCACTTTGCGCTTTCGAGCAATTCGCTTCTCGCACAATCAATCCCTTTCCCCCTGAAGTAATCCTTTGCTTGATGCCTTCGGGAGGGGAAAATAAATTACACAAAATAAAGACTCATTCTTTGTGGACTGGTATTAAAATGAGCGGGACGCGTCATTCATCGTGTTTATTTAAGCTCTATAAATAGTATTTGCAGTTTTAAAAGAAAAAAAAATTGAAAGCCGTTTACAACTCCCTGTAACGGCGAATTGGAGCGCAGCTTTTGAGGAGGAGGAGGAGGGAAGGGTACTGAGGGGAGGGTAGACCCTTCCTCATCCTCCCCCTCCCCTCATCCTTTAATATGCTCAGGGGGGTCACCTGACCTCGGGGGGAGGGGGTGTCACGTGACTTCGGGGGGGTCACGTGACCTCGGGGAGGGGGTCACGTAACCTCGGGGAGGGGGGTCACGTGACCTCGGGGAGGGGGTCACGTAACCTCGGGGAGGGGGTCACGTGACCTCGGGGTGGAGGCCACGTGACCTCGGGGGTCACGTAACCTTGGGGGGTCACGTGACCTTGGGGTGACCTCGGTGACGTCGACGGCGACGGCGACGCCGACGCCGCTCAAGCCGGAAACGGGCGCCTAAGAGCTGCGCTCTAAAAAGACCCGAACTGTGGCTCACTAGGTTCGCGGTTATAGCCTCGGGATTTGTTATTCAGAGTGCTAATCGGCTAATGCTCAAGTCTCATTGGTTGGGGAGCGATAATAAGACGCCATGGACCCTCCCTGCATTTCTTCAGCTGTCAGTAGTTAAAAACGCGGTACTAAGAGTTGTGTCCTCTTTGTTCTTAGACTATTTCCTGGAGCTGCAAAGAGGCCGCGCAACCAACGACTCTACGGTGACGAGCCCATGGTTTCGAGGGCGTTCTGAGCCCTATTGCCTGAGGTTCTGGTACCGAAGGGACAACCTGAGCCTCGGAAAAATCGTCGTAGAACTGGATTCGGCGGGAGGCGGCCAGCCTGTCGTCATGTGGGAACAACCGCCGTACCCCAAGAATGATTGGATGCTGGCTCTTGTACCCATCGCTCACCTGGAGGAATTTAAGGTACTGCTGAATCTAACAACAAATGCAAAAATTGTCAGTTTTCTTTTTGTTTTTCGTCTTTTTTTGTAAATGTTTAAGAACCGTCATCTAAGCAATTATTATTTCTATGAAAAGGGATCATGTGGTAAAACAAAAAGTATGTATAACTTTGTGAACGTCAAACGCTCGAATGGAGGGAAATTTGTGCCGATTGCTGCGCTGAGTCAAGAGCACTTAGATTGCAAGGCCGTAGTGCTCAGTTTTTAACATCGTCTAAAAAAGAAAACGCGAGACCGGGCCACGAGTTCCGCGTCAGCGTTCAGCTGAGACCTGTGTCCTTTCTGGTGAAAGGCGAGTCTCAGCCGGGCGCTGACGACGCATTTATGTCCAACCCGTGCTTCTCATTTGCTTCCTTAGGTGATACCGAATATTCAGCACTACGGCCTCGTTTATCGAGAAGGTGTTTGCTGAGCGCGTAGTATATTTTAGGCTGGGGAGCTGTGTGTCGCATATGGGTGCAAATTTGATTTTTTGATTTATCTTTTATTTCTGGTTTATGTGCAGACAGCAGGTATATTTTTTCTCTGGCTCATTTTAGGCCTTTAATCATAGAAATCTGAGAAAAGTATTGAGACAGATCTGATTGAAAGTTAACTTTTAGCTTCCCCTTGCCCGCAGTAATGTTCTCCTAAGTCGAGGTCACACTGCTTATACATCATACAAAAGACCGTCTGCATACAGATTCGAACGCGGGTCATCGGAAGATCCGTACTTCAAATTCCGCATATGGCAGTCAGTTTAAGGAGAAAACTTGCCACGCAGCATTCGAACCAGGAATATTCCGTTGGCTCGTGTTTGCACACCGTCTTTTCTATGATCTATGAGCAGTGCGGCCCCGGCTTTAGTGGAAAGTGGGTCATCTGCGGTATCATTTCGTGTTGTGGTTATATAAAAAATGCTTTTTTAACTTCCCTCCGTCTAAAACGTGTTATATAACGCTTATCAGTTCATCGCTCCGGTTGTAGTTCTATTAACAAAATTATCGCATTAAAATATTTTTTTTAAGTCTCTGGGAGATTTCTTTAGGTGATGCGCCATAACTACTAGTGATTTGTGTAGGCTAAAAACACATCGTGTTAAAAAAAATAAAGGAGAAAACATGTGTAAAAAACGTTTGTTGTATCTTGTCGAAAAACAACAATAATAATTGTGGTATGTCAAGAGACAGAAAGCGCAGCGTGTTGAAGGGGCGGTGCAACATTTTTTTTTTGTACTTTGTGCAAGTACAACTAAAAAAGAATGACTCCCTGTCGGTTATAACAAACGAAACACGCGTTAAATTTTCTCCCCACTCACGGGCAGTCGCAGGAAAAAAAAACAAAAAACACGCAGCGCTCAGTACCTAAACTCGCAGCCAGAACAAGCGGCAACGTGATTTGGAGACAATTATATGCCGCCCATGTTAAATCGCTTCGCGCTGAGTTCCGGACATTGTTACGGTTCGGCAATTATCGTCGTTGCAGCGACTGGACACGAGCCACTACCCGAGTGTTTGTACAGCTATTGATTATCACGAGCCCAGAACCAGTGCTCACGTAATGCTCGGGTCCAATCGATGATTCGTATTCAAATATCGTCACCGCGGGGACTATGCCAACACCACGATGGAGGACGGGAGAGGCGTCTGAACGGCGCCACCTCGCCTGGTCTGGACATGGAGCAAATGTGTCGAGCTTTGCTCCAATTTCTTGCTAGCGCCGCAAGATGGCGCAGCACGACAGGAGCTCGAGGAACCATTCGACATCTTGTAAACCCTGAAATGGGGAACGATAAAAAAAAAAAAACGGACGAACACAACAGATTGTGTTCGTCCGTTTTTTTTTATCGTTCCCCATCTCAGGGTTTACAAGATGTCGATTGATTACCAGCTCGCCTGCACTCTCTCACTGCTTACAACCATTCTCATCCGCGCGCACGTTTTTAAAGCCGCGAGGCGCGCAACCGCGCTTCTGCGCGGAGCCCCAACCCAATGATGCCCTTTCCAGGAGATGCTCGAAGCTCGAGTGCAATTTCATCCCCTTTTCTGTCCTTATTCATACTCTTCCTTCTTTCACTGTGGCCAACACTCCGACCTCCATAGTACGTAATCACGTTTTGCGAAGGAGGACATAAAGAAAGCGCTCGGCCTTATCCTTGAAATTACATCCCAACTAAGAAGTTTCTTGGTCAGTGGCATTGCGTGCGAGTATACTTGGGTTTCGTAAATAAGGTCGCGTCAAGTGAAAAAAGATTCAACTGTGTATTGTTGCGCCACACCTTCAAACATGCTCTTTTGTCTTAACACTTCAGAGCATGGGAGTCCCTTCCCTTTGGCTTGCGATTTTTTTCGCGCAAACATTTAGGAGCCAGGGGACTGTATTTCGTGACGCTATTTGGTAATTTAATGCTCATCTTATGGAAGACATCTATACATACGTCACAGAGTCCATGCTTATGAGTGATAATAGCATAAGTTATTAGTACAAGTAAAGTTAGCACGTCCCCGACCAAAAGCAAGGCGTATTTACCCTCGTGTCATTCTGTGCTCCTGAATAATCGTTTAAATCTATTCACTGAGACTGACATGTACGCCTGACCTAATTCCACGTCTGAAAGTTGTAGAATCACGAGCTCAAATATCTGAAATATACATTTGGAACGCGTTCTTTTTTTCTTTTTTTTTTTCTGTAAAACTACGACGCATTATACCCACACGCACTTAACGATTGGGTCTTGTAAGACAGCATGAAATCAAGAAAAGAGTCGCAGTATGTAAGTTTCTTATATAAGCCTGTACACCTGACTATAATTTCTTTGCATTGTTTCCACCAGGTGGTGTTTCGGGTAAACGGGGGTGCAGGCAAAGGGTACCCTCTGTCCAGTTTCGGAATCGATGACGTGCAACTCGACCCCGAGCCCTGCAGACCGCTCTTTGAGTGTGACTTTGAAGAAGACTTTTGCGGTTACGTGAACGACTTCACGCGTAGAGGCGTGCAGTGGCTGGTGGGCACAGGGCGGGTCGCAGTGCCGAAGCTGTCCCCGAAAATTCCGCCGCCCCATAACCCATCGGCAGAAGCCTCTGGAGGTGAGTACTCCAGTTTCCAGTTCTCGGTTCAAAACTGAAAGCATATTTAGAAAGGCTATATCCGGAATTCTTACTTCTAAAATGCGAGGCACGTCAAGAAAGTCTGTTCCCTGTTTAAATTAGTATGCTATGTAGCGTTCTTTGGGGGAAATGCTTTACGTTCATTGAATTTTAGACACTTCATCTTTTTAATATAGTCCCCTAAAGCTCTAAGGATTTTATTGAAATGCAGATTGACCCCTTCTTTCGTGAAAATAAACAATCGTTTTCTCTAATGGGTTATACTTTTTTTTTTCATTTACGTCTTTCTCGTAGAAGTTTGCCATTTTCGTCACGAGCAAACACTTTTGGCACCTGTCGTGAAAACATTTTATGCTACTAAGATGTTCTCTAAAATATTGTAAATTAATGATTTCAAAATATTAGGGACATGTGTTGCGAGACAAGGAGCAGTAAATGGTCAGTTCTACAGATCTACTTAATTCAGTTGTTCCGTAAAATCAATCGTGGCCAGCGACAGCCTACTGCTTTGGAGTGCATCATTGACGCTCTGTTGCCCTTCATTAAATATCCGAAGTTCGAGCCTATTTCTGCTGAATTCACGTGCTCATTGAATTGAGTTTATAGATTTCGCAAATTTGTTGATGAATTTCTTATGAACTGCAGGGTGTAAGATTTATCGCGTTCAGAATCTTACCACACAACAGACATCGGATTCGGCGGGTTGTTCTGTTGAATTATACACACTATTTCAAGGGAGAAACAAAACAAAAAATACATAGTCTCACAGAATTGAGGGTGGGATTAAATAGTGAGCTGACAGAACTGTCCATACAAATCACGTGGGTGATCAATCTTGCAGGATTAGCGCCCTAACCATTCTTACTTTCTGGATGAGTCTCGTAAACTACGCGTAAGTACTTAAAGGTCAACAGCGATGACACGACGTTATTGCTATGGGCGTAACGTTGCCGAGATTGCGTTTAGGAACTTTTTGAATCAATTCATTCTATTTCCTGTTGACGCTAATTGTCGTTTTAAAGTTTTATCGTGTCCATTCTGCGAGAGTGTTTAGGTGTTATTAAAAATAAACAGCACCGTTTTTATGTAAGTATTTTAAAATTATTTCGTCTCCGATGGTAAACCAGAGGCCACGTATCAAAACTCAGGTTCTATGGGTTCTGACATTTTATTCTAACTCCTTTGGGAACTTTTGAATCTAAGTACCGGCTGTCAACCTATAAAGTCGCCTTCAAGTGCAGTTCTGGTTCTTCGTGACTCATGCCTCATTTTATGCGGTGTGAACGTATTGGGAGCCTTATTAATCACGCACACTCAGCATGTTCAGTAAAACCTGGGCAAACTCGCGGTATGCCCGGGTATATTATTTCTTATGGGGAAAGAGGGTCGTCTATTTCCGTGGCCTGCAGGAGATGCAACTAGAAACAACGTTTTGTTGTTACAAGAAAAGTAATGATTTAAAAATAAGAGGTTACTACGGACACTTCATGCTGGTTCCTTTTGCACAATCACGCTCTAGAGAAATCTCGCCCTCCCCAGACCCACAGTTAAGAGAAAAATACATTTGAACTATAATAAACTTTCTCAATTTAGATTAATTTAAAGCGGAGGACAAGGCACTTTCAGCACTACAAAAAAGCGTCACACAAAAACATCACTATAAACGTTTTTACCTTTAAAAAAGCAAGTTTTGTGCACTGGTCATTCGCGGCGCCAAGTAGTTCTTACTAGATTTGGTTGCCGGAGGAAAAAGCGATTGTTTTGGCGTTTGGAACGGGTACGTCTTAATAAGACACCATATACATAATCTACAGGTCACCTACATATATCTTAATTCTCTACACAAAGGGGGAAATCACTAATGCTGTGCGAGAAGCCTTACTTCTTTTGCTACGCTTATTGAGGTGAAAACGGGAATAGGTTTAGCGGGAAAGTAATCATCCGCCAAATTGAAGCAAATCTACGAACTTCGTACGTTTCAAATTCAAATTCAAATTCTTTATTTGACATTCCTTGTCGAACAAAAAATGCCAGGGCAGGAACAAAAAGCTACAATACAGTAGCTTGACGGGGTTCCTGCCCCTACCTTGGCATAAGAAACAACCGAACCGACAGTTTAAAATTGACAAGACATATACACAGAAATTCAAACCATGAAAAATATACATGTAATCAATTTACATCAAATATAAACTAATACTGACATCGTGCACACTAAAACATGTATTCCGACAGTTCATGCAGGAAAAATATAAAGCAAAGACAACAAAAGTTTTGCACAATTATTCACTGTGTGAAAAAGTGTTCTTTCAATGTTTTTTTACAAATGGTGTGTATATCAAGGTTCCTTTTCTCTAAAGAGTTTGGTACTTGGGCGGCCATTGCAGTAGTTTTCTCACCACAGCGAGGCTCCATCGCAGGTTGTGAGCATTCCCTTTGGCTGGCGCAAGAGAACCCGTGACCATAATGGCAACCAAAGACAGCTTTGTTGTAAGTCGCGGCAGAAGTCTCGGTACCCGAACGATTGCCTCGAGCTTTGCCGAACCTGAAACGTATTCTAATTATGACAATTTTGTGAGGTATAAGCAAAGTTCTGCTGCATTTATTTAGCACAGAATATCGGTAGGGCTCGATTTCACGAGCAGAGTGACAATTCACTCCCGAGCGTGACGCCGACTCACACACAGAGGTCACAGTCGTATAAGCAATAGAGCCCCATATGGGCTCTATTCCTTGTGTTACCTGAACGTCAATGTGCATGTGATGCTCTGACTTCAACGCAACGCAACGTAACATTACGACATCACGTGTTATTATGACGTCACGTGACACCTTGGACGTCTAACGACAAACGAACTTGACGTAATTCAGGGAATGTCACAGTGTCACCTCACCTCATGATTTCACTTGACGTCACACACACACACACACACACAGCATGTGTTCAGCTCATTGGAAACACATTCTATTTGTCATCGAGTTTGTCAGATATGATCAAGATATTCTTTATTTTTTTATGTACAGACGAGTCCAAGTCTTGGACGAGGTTCGCCTACGTTGACTTAACCGTTCCCACCGGTCGGCCGAGTGGCTGGACGCCACCTGCCGGGGCTGAAAAGGCAGACTTGGTGAGCCCCGTGTTCCAAGTAGACGACAAGCGAGACACCCTTCGACTGACGTACTTCCGAAGCGGACCAGGTCAGTGCGTCTCGTGTTCAAACGACCCTAGTTTGGAGCGGCGTTTGAAAAACACTAATAGTTTTAGTTCAAATTGACGGTGTGTTGTAGAACTTTGTTTCAGTTACATTGCTTTCCTGTACACGAAAAATAACCTCGACATAAATTGTTTCGAAACTCGTTTGATTTAAGGAGTATTAAAGGGGCAGTGCGACGATATTCAATTGGAATGTTTTTCACTTTACACGAGCTTACTGGCACTAGTGGGACACAATGATACTGGCACGCAACGCCACTGACCAAGAAACTTCTTTGTTGCCGTGTAATTTCAAGGACAAAGGCAAGCAGTTTCATTCAATTTCTCCTCCGAAAACCTTGATGCCGTAGCTGGGCAGTCGTAGTACCGCCCAGCGACGATATTTGAATGTGGCTGATAGAATGGGCCCCAGCATAGCGTGCGCACTCGTTTTGGGTCGTGATAATCGATAACTCGAGAAGCATTCGGGTAGTGGCCCGTGTGCAATCGCTCCAACAAACGACAATAGCTAAACCACAACAGTGTCTGGAACTCAGCGCAAGTCCCGTGCCTTGCCAATCCCAGCGCAAGGCTGTGATCAACATTGGCGGCATATAATCGACTTCATATCACGTGGCCCCTAGTTCTGGCTGCGAGCTGAAGGTGTGAACGCTGCTCCTTTTTCTGCAATTTTTTTTCTGCGACTTTGATTGCGTGTGGAACACGAACGGTTGTTTCACAGGTCATTAACGTCAGGGATCCGTTTTAAGCGGTATTTGCGCAAAGTACGAAAATCGTTGCATCGTCTTTCTAAAGACTTTGTTTTTATATATTGGCAAGTAGGCAGAGATTTGTCGAGCTACACCATGTAAGCTTCTTTTTTCTCCCTCTCTCCTTCCTTCATCAAATACTATGAAAGCAATAAAATTAATTTTATCTGAATTGAATGGAGCCTTGTAAACAACCGAAGACCAAGGGATGTTAGAAAACGATCAAAGCAATATCGGATTGAACAGTTTCAAGATTCTTGAGATATATCCTTAGTCTGAAAGGTTAAACAATATAGCAGATTTATTTTCTAATATTTCTGAGTAGTACATAACTTAGAAATTATACTTGAAACCCTTCCCACTCACTATCTAGAGTTCTTAATGGGTTCTTGTAGGAATACGCAGAGTTGTCAGCTTAAAGTTCCTTCAAAAGTCCTGTAATTGATATAAAAAAAAACTTTTTTTAGTTAGTTAAGCTAGAGCCGGAAAAGTATTGTGTTTGGATAACAGTAACAGATAAGTGCCCCTTGTTTGAACGGGTAGGCAACTTCTGAGATTATACCCAGGGCATGGAACTTTATCTTTAGTTGAAGTGTACCTGAGCTGTTTCACAATCAAGTGTAGGGCGCGCCGGCGAACAATACGAAGCAGTAAAAAATCATGAGCCATTCCACTTTGTGAAGGTGGGAGACCAGCGAAGCTGTTTAGCACACGACACAGACTTGCTCCGATTTTAGTATTTTTTTACATTACACTGTGCCCCGCGATCTGTTGTAGACGATGACATGGACATGCCCATAAGGCCTGTGTGCATATGCACAGGCCTTATGTTGAGTAAACACCGAGGTGTGGGGAAAGAAACGGGCCAGAGCGCCCCCTTTATTTCGATTTCCTTCCCAATAGTTTTGAGCCAACGCACACGAGAAAGTTATGGAGCCCTAGCCATAAACAGCTTCCCTATAAAAGCTTTAGGTATGCTGGAATTGGCCGACCGCAACCCTCTAGACAAACAAGTATTTTTATGCTTGACCTGCCGTTCATTATTATGTAGGATAGGAGGGGAATGGGGGGGGGGGGGGGAGAGGTTGCCCCCCTCCCTTTTATTCCTTACGGATCCCCACCCCTTCAAGATCGTGATAATGCTTTGTAGAGTCTGGCAACCCGGAGCAAATACTCCCATATTAGAATGTTCGGCTTTCAGAAATTCAAATACGAAATATCGGGTTCATAGAAAATAAAGCATGATTAAGTTGAACAACGAAACAAGACACACGTTGCCTTGGCTTCGGTGGTCTGAAACCGAACCATGCCAGGTCAAGCGGATATTCCACAAAGTCATATGGATGTACCTGGGATTGCGTACACCGCAGGAATATTTTTGGAGAATTTTCACAATGCACAACCTAAATTGAGTTTGGTACATTTCCCGCGTGAGTTCCCGGTGCATGAAAGTAAAAGAAAATTGTTACCACTTACATTCTTGATGCGTGTGTATTTGACACTACACAGACATTGTCTCCATGGAGCTGAGGCAGGTCGGCTACAAGGATGAGAGTGGAGTTCCTTCCACGCTCCAGACAGTTCAACTTCCGGCGGCCGAGGCCTGGCAGACAACACAGTTGAAGCTCAAGCCTTCCCAGCAGTCCCAGATTATAATTGCACTTACCAGAGGAAAAGGAGCCAATGGAATAGCCGCCGTCGGCGTTATTTCAGGTAAGAATTAGAGCCTGAACCTCCCGCAATTTCGAAGCAGCAAGAAAAGCCCGTGAATTCGTTCGTCGGTTCTTTAAAAAAAAGTAAAACATCAAAATTATAAATATTTGAGATTGTTGTTGTAGCTTGAGACCGGCAATATCAATCGAGCACTTTACTTAGCCAGTTTGCCTACCTCTAAATTTAGCAGTAATTAAGAAAAATTAAAAATATGGTATGGTCTAGATGAGTGTAAAATTAAATATCGTAACAATTTTTTCATACACTGTGTCTGTCATCTGTTTTCGTTTGTTTTTGCAGCCGGGGAACCTGCAGATGTCATAGCTGAACAAGCATGTAAGTCGGCTAAGATATAAAGAACAAATAATTAAAGAAAATCGTATTGGCTCTTTTGTCTTCACATCTAAGTTGTTGTCTGTTTGTTTGTTTTTTTCGTTTAGTACTCTACCCTGACCGGTTTTAAATATAAATATTACCTCAAGCTAATACCAAAACAATAAACCTTACGACGCCAAATTTCAATGAGAATTCGTTACAGAAAACGGGTATATGCGATCAACTACAACACTCTTGTTTCATAACCTTCAAAAATGACCCTTCAGCAAATCGAAAGATAGCCCCAGCTCAGTGACTTTACAGTGGTAGAAGGATTCCCGTGCATTTACACCCTTTCAATCAATCTATTATCTTAATTGCCCACTACTATAGTCGCAGATAGCTTTAACAAACGCAGCGCGTGGCTATTTTAAGAAGATTTAGAGTATTATCGCTCCAGTGCCGCGTGCAAGAAGCGCGTAGGTTATAGGCCACGCTCCGCGTTCTATAAACTCTCGGTGACAATAGGAACCACGTAGACAGAAGGCCTCTGCACGCATCATCCCAGTCGGATCGATCGAGGCCTGAGATTGGGCACGAGTGCTGTGTCAGCGTTCGGCTGGAGCTCGCGTCCAATCAGCGCGTCGGAGGTCGGTCTCGGGCCCAATAGCCGAGTTAGCGCGATCCGACTGTGATGACGTTTCATAGAGGGAGAGGAGACCATGTGGAGGCTTGTGTTGGCTTAGCCCCCCTGTTCTTGGTAATCTATTCCCTGAAGTTATCTCGTTCACGCTCAGTTTAGTCCAGTTCTACTAGATCGTTCCGATATCCCGTTAGCTATGCTCAATACTTTGCCAATGTGTTGTTTTTTGTTGTTTCTTTTTTGAGGGGGGGGGTGTATTGTATGGATTTTTTTAGCACTTATCACCCATGGCAAAATATGCTGAGTCACCGAGCTATGGGTCCTCTGGCAGCGTCTAATATATCACGCAACGGAGCTACAGCGCATGCTCAGAAGGGTTTTTGCGGCAAAGCAGACATAGATCAATGCGCGCAGAAAGCGCAGTGATTGCAGCGCAGCAAAGAAAGCGGTGAGCAAAACTGTCCGCTAATACCTACCAATGACGTTCGTTTGAAAACAATACACGTTGGGGACGAAGGCATGCTGAGGCCTTCCTCAGGGCCTTAGCCTTTCTTTTAATGTGTGAAATCAAGAGCACTTAAAACTTAGGCATGAAAGGAATTTGACAGGACGGTGTTGTATACTGTTCACTATGACACCTCGAGAAACAATTAAATTCGAGAAGGCATTTGGCTTCAAGAGTAGCAATTGCCGAACGTAAGCGCCCAAACTTATTTCTCCATACTACCCTTTTTTAAAGGCAATATGTTTTTTCTTCTATCTTCGTTGATATGCAGGCTATGATTTTGCATGAGGATTTTGGGACATTCAAGCTCAATAAACCCGTACAGAGATGAGCTGACCTAGATCGTTAATGTACATCACGGGTAAAACCACCTGAACAAGAAGGGAAGAAGAAACAGAGAAGACAACCAACTATTTTAGTAAATCGTCGTCCTTTTCTACTATTCGCAGAAGAACTGGTGGATACGCATACGAACTAGTAGAAGGGGAGGAAGATTTATTAAAATAATTGGTAGTCGTGCGGTAAATTGTATTTTCTGTTTCTCCTTCCTTCATTGTTCAGCCGGTTGCAACCGTGAGCAATCGACACATTTCAAAAATGCGCGCCATCTATCTGGTAGTCGCTGCGAGTCCGCCATCACTTGGGCACACAGTCTGTGCATGTATTGGGCACAGGAGCTGCGTCAGCGTTCGGCGAGAGCTCGACTCCTCTCACAGGCATTGTGCCCAATAAATGGCGGCAACCAATGTTGCTTGAAGGGGCCTATTCTAAAGAGTTTATTCTATACAATGTTTGAGATAAGCAATCAACACATACATGGCGAATATGAAGATTAATATTCTGGAACATACTAGCACTAGAGATTACAAAACATCAAAATGTGAGCGTATGTGGCATAACTCTACGATCGTTGAAGGAACCTTAAAAGAAATCTGCGCGTATATCGAACAAATATGCCAGTACGAGGTAGACATCTTTTGGTCTCGGGCGTTCCATTCTTGGCGCTACATAGACGAATCGGTGAAACGTGCAAACGCAATTTCTCAACAGTTTTTTTTTTTTTTTTTTTTTAGTTTGCTTAAAATAAACTTTCGCGTTTTTGGTAAAGACCGATAAACACTAAAAATTAATCCTCATGACAAGCTTCTCGAAATGAAAAAAAAAAACGAAATACACCGAATCCCTGTTGGCCTTCAATGAGGAATACCCAATCTTCATGCAGGAAGAATATCTTTTATCTACAGTTTTCAATATCTTAGCCCGGAACAGAACACTGACCGAACTGTCCTCAAGGCTGCTGCTTTCTTCGGAGCCTACAGCACTCTTTACTCCTCTTACCGGTACCGGAATGTTTAGCGAATATTCGGGACAGGCGCGTGGTCACTAGATATTGGAACATCCCATTCCCGTGTCATGTTTTCTCCAACATATACCCGGATGAGTGACGCCTTTCTATCAACACCAAACATGGACACCGACAAACACCAAACCTAATGGGAAAAAATAAACCACCCAAAAAACACGGATCCGTAGTTATAAAGCAACTTAACTGTTTACTAAACGCCTACAAGTCTCTAGAAAGATTCCAACTTGATGTTCAGATTATGGAGTTGCGTCTGTGCCGGCATCGACTGGCAGCGTTTCGGGGGGGGGGGGGGGGGGGGGGGGGGGGGGGATATATTTGATATTAGCTAGCGCAGTTCGCAATGATTGAGCTACATGACTGTAGTAACTATGGTCAATGACAAGGTGTTAAGGCATATAGGAGCACCAGTTGTCCTGCCTGATGCGCGAGCTTCTCACCTTCAACAACGCCAACGCCGGCTCGTACTAGAGCACGCTCGCGCAGCCAAAGCACGACGGAAGGCATGAAGGGCGTGCGTCATGCCTTCCGTCTACCACAAAAAGAGATTAAATGTGACATTTAATCTTTTTTTTTTTCTTGTTTCAGCTCTTTCGTGCGACTTTGAGAACGGCACCTTCTGCGGATGGGATGCCAGCCTCGGCGACATTCACTTTAAGCTGAACGAACCCGCCAAAAAAAATCCACCCTTTCCCAAATCTGACCACACCCTCCGGGCGTACAGAGGTAACCATGCATTGCAAGATCTTCTTTTTTTTTTTTTTTTTTGAGATACATTGTTGCAGAATGTTGCTCACCTTAAAACAAACAAAAAAATATTTTCGTTCATTTTGGGTTATCAAGTGAAAAGATATAGTAACATTTAGGTTTGCCAGCGCGATAATTATAGCTGTAGTTTCAATGGTGATAATGACTGAAACGATTTTATAACCTATAGTTCTAAAGAAAGTTGATTTTAGGAAGCAATACTACACAAGTTATTAATAGGTCGTAGACCTTCCGGTTTTACCCGAAAAGCATCGATAAACGTTGTCTGTTTTTAAAATGCAAAATCGGTTAAAACCGAAAAACACAGATAAACATATAATGCTGCGAAACTCAATAAACAAGGAACACCGATTGCTGGGAATATTTACTCTAGCTAGGACCCTTTTTGTCTAAACTCTCTCCAGGCTTGAACTGAGGCCTTCATGCGATCTTTTACCTATAATCACCGCGGTGTGTCTATTCGCAAGAAATCGCCGGAATACACCGACAGTTAAAACAAAAAAAAAAAAAGCAGCAAAATATATCCGCCGCTTTTTCTTGCAAATAAACGCCGGATATTCTACGCTCTACTTATAAAATTTTCTTCTGCGGCGTAATTTCTTCAACTTATTTTGGCTGGTTGTCATAATTTGTCCACTTATGCATAAACCAAGTCCAGCGAGTGATATTGTAGCGATGTGTTACTGAAAAGTGAGTTTTCCATGTGTGTTGAATGGTGTCTGTATGTTTGCAATAGCTATTCTTTTTAAAGTGAACGTTATGGCAGGTGTCTCTAAAAAGCTGATTGATGGATGAGGCGCATCACGCAATACGCCGTCTTGTGCTAACTTGGCAAACAGCGAAGGGTATACGGTCCCAGGGAACTAATCAGCGCTTTGGATGGAGGCACGTGACTATACTCCTGCTCATTTGTTGTCCGTAGTAGGGTCGAAACCGTGGGGGCAGAGAGAAAGGAAAGCCTCTTTTTAAAGAATTTTAAGTGACGGACTAGTGTTCGAGGGGGAGAAGAGCGACGTCTTGGACTTACAAAAAGAGGGCTGGGTAAGAGAGCGTTTCCTCCTTCCCCTCTTTTTCAAATGCTTGAGTTACGCTCTGCCGCTGCACCTTTGGCAGGGGCTCTCACGTGTCGTGTCTCCGTCGCTTTCAGTGGCTCGATGGGGTCGTACCATTCGCTCTTCGCCAAGTTACCGGAAAACGACGTATGGTCTTGTTCTACAGAGGAAAGCCTACCTTGTTATTCGCTTGGGAATTTTGGAGAAGGCTGGTATGCTTTCAGCAGGAAGATTACCATAGTACTTTTAGGTTCATGAAAATATCAGACGGCTTGAATATCAAGGTCAGCACTTCGCATGAAAATTTCAAAAGTGCATCAAGGGTGACCTCGCGATAAAAAAAGATCCCCGTCGACTATATTAGCTATCCAAGTCATGTTTTCTAAGAATGTATGGCATGGTGCCTAGGTAAAATATGCCGGTTGATCTTGATCCTACGCCATACAAGTTATGTAGTTAATTTTCTTGGGAAAGCACAACGTTTTTAAATAAAGAAATCTTCCCAATTTATTAGTAAAATATTTATAGTAAAATCAATAATGAAAGCTTAGTCTTTTCACCTTAAAAAGGGCTTAAATAAACGGTTTCTCACTGTAGGCCAAGTTCTTAATGTAGGGTGTGGTTTTGAGTATGAATAAATGTTGCTTTCTGCGAACAGTTATATGTGATTATACAAAAGAACTAATCCAGTTATCATTTTTCTCTTTGTACGCCTCAAGTCAAGATATAATATGCCGATAATTTACTTGTGTAATTGACGTGCACTTAATAGTCTATGGAAATAAAGTCTTCATGTTTGTGTTGCTAAAATGTTTCTATAAAAATGAAGCCTTTATTCCGTACTCATTCTTATCTCCAGTTTTTCGGACGTGGGTTCGAATTTCACTTTCACACCATGTTTATTGAAGTCACTTCGCGGTGTCTGGTTTTGTGGACATAAGTTCAGATGCCACTATTGACACTATGCTATATTAGTTGTTTCTGGGTGTCACAGAGACACTATACATCTTGTTGACGAGGGAAATCTGAATTTCGTTGGCCAAGTGGGTTTGGCCTTTAGTGAGTAGGTTGAATCCCATAGGGAGCGATAATAACCTACATAACACTCGTGAGTAAAAAGATTCGATTTAATGAAACTCCTAAAGTGCACTATAGTATAATACAGTCGTATATTTCAATAAAAAACCGGTGAACTAAATCTCTGATCTCAGAAGAGCTGTTCTAAATTCTTCCTGTGATTTTATTCTTAGGACGCTTCATTTACGCCGAACACTTGGGCGCCAAGTACGCAACAGCTCGTCTCAAAAGCCCCGAGATTCCAACCGACGTACGCAACGAATTTTGCGTGTCCCTATGGCACGCGGTTCTACCCAAGACGAAAGGATTGTAAGTAAACACTTCGACAAAACCGATAGTCACCGACCGCTCGAGAATCGCAAGGTGTGGCTCACCACGAACAACGGTTCTTCCTTTGTGATTGGTCCTTTGTAGTTCTTGTCGGCAAATGCCGCAATCTGATTGGCTCCGGGCCGATAATGAGGTTCTCAGGACTATAGGGAACTATAGGGAACTCAGGATCAATAGGGAACTATAGTAGCTGCTCCAGGAACGCAGCATGAGCTTGAGCTCTCCTTGCTGCAAAGCTTGTAGTGCGATAATAGCGCGCTTCGACAGAGGCTTCCTTTCTTCTGAAGTGTGGCGTCTGGTTGGCGATATGTATTCTTCTGTTTTTCAGTATTTCGCTGAACGACACAGTCTGGTCGAACCCCTTGCTGCGTGACCACTCAAGCATTATCCACCATTGGGCACATGACCTGGTTCAGATGAAGTTGCCAGAAAATGTTGACAGGGTATGTCTTTCTTTTTCTTTTCTTCGTTAAAGGGAAGCTACGGAGCTTCTTGAAAAAAATGAGTTAGAAGTGAATTCTTGTGTATTTTTCCCCCGTGAACCCGAATACCCAAACCATTTGCTGCGTAAGAATTGTTAAACGCGAGAAAAACGCGAAAGACAGTCGCTGTCCGTGACGTCATCGACGGCTCTTTTGGCTGCCCAAGGCTAGGGGGGCGGGGCTTCAGTCCTATTTTGAAATTGCTCGTATGGCTCTCCAGCGCGTCGCATTGAAATACAATTTTGATATATGTTAATCTAAAGGCCAAATGAACGCAATTCAAGCGTTTTTTCCTAAATGTAGAAGTGCCCCATCTTCCCTTTAACTTTTAAGCGTCTTCAATATAGCGGTGCTTAAAAATTTTGTGTTGGGTGTCTTCTTTTGCTTCGGTTTCCGGGTTCTTCGTAAATGTGCTTTATTTACACCCGCTTCAATTTATTGTTTAATAAAATTGAGGTGTTTTATATTAGAGAGGAAAAAAGCAGGTATGTATGTGCTGGTTAATTATATTTGATTTTGTATTCTTAGTTGTATATGTATGTCCACACGTGGATGCACTTTGTGTCGTCTATAGTAAAACATTGAAAATCTAATATTGCGTAAAACGTCGCTATCCTATTGAAAGAACCACATACGCACGCTTATCCGTAATACCATACAAAAGGACCGTACGATATATTCTATGAATGTTTCTTCATTGAGAACGCACACGTCAATCCGATGCTGGACCATGGTAGCCTTTGCCTGGCAGATAATTTGAATTTTTCTTTTCAATTAATTTGCCTAAAATTTATATTTTTATGCGGTAAATGTATGATCGTGTTAATTTTACGTGTATATTGCGTGTATCAGATATGGGAGATTACCTCGACCCCTATAAAAAATAGGAGGCGTACACAGCTCGGCACTGTTAGTACGAACAAACGATTGCCGGCTTTGTACTGATATTTTGTATCAGAGCAGCTGTTATCAAAAGCAACCATGGTAGTGAAAAGTACTTATTTGGGACATTAGCATAAGCAACAAGACTTAGTGCCAACCAATATCCTTCGAAGTAAAACGCAAACGAGCGTCGTTCTTAAATTATTTATTTATTTAAATACCTTAATAACCGTGAGTCAGGGTATTACATAAGGAAGTAAGTTTAAAAAATAGCTAGGTTAACATTTGGCGGAATGAATCGATGTCTTGAGCAGAGACGATGACTTCGGGCAGGCCGTTCCAGACTACAGATGTCGCCGGGAAAAAAAGATTATGGAATGCTGTATTTCGAGTGAAAAAAGGCGGACTTTAAATTATTTAAAGTCGGCCCTTAAGGGTTAGTTCGCGCTAACTGTGTCACGCACTGTACACCACAATAAAAACTAACCCTAAAAGACGATTTAGCACAATATTCACGTCTCGCCATAAGTACTTCAGCGATTTTCAAACTGGCGTTTATATCGGGGTCAGCGTCTCGAAATGCAGAATCGCTCCTAACTCGAAATGTGTATGGGGACGTAAATGTCGCCCAATTGTTTAAATGTTATTTCTATGATGTCGTTTTAGCTGCCTTTTCTGTGTGGCATACGTGTCCAATTCAGACACCTTAAACTGATCTCGATAGTTTGGCATCTTTTTAAGAACCTCCTCGAAGTTATTAGATTGAAACTGAAGTCGATCGTGCTGACGTTCCGATTAATCAATTTTGATACTAAACATATATAGAAGATAAGTTGTTACAGGAATACATATTTTTATTTGTGGCGATTCATTAAACAAAATTGTTGGATGAGTTTCTTAATAACAAATAGATACCTACTAAGCCAATTTAGGAAGACTTGTTCGGGTAGTAGGTTCATGGTACTGAGTAAACTTGTATCCGCTTGTCATTGTCCACTCCTTCGTGTTCGTCCTCTGTGTTTAGGCGCGCATGTTTACTCAATACTATGACTATTTAGTCGCGGCGCTTGAAGGATTATATTTATTTTATTTTTTTTTTAATATCTGATGGCAGTTTACCATAGATGCCCACATGATATCTGGCTTGATTGCACTGGATGACTTGGTGCTGACTCCAGGTCAATGTCCTATGCCAAGTGAGTGTTTTAACATCCCTATTAATACACTGTATATCAATATACAGGGTGTTTGATTTTTAATTTGAACATATTTTTTTAATTAAGGCCGTGTGTTAGACGAGTTCTGTTTTCACCATATATTTAGCAGGCTCGGCAGACATTAGATGAGGGGTAATCATCATGCTCAGTTGACTAATTAACTAAATTGGGTTAATTAACTCTTCAAGTGTTGGTTTTAGTGTGCATGTTGAAAATGGAGTATTGATGGCAATTACTAATAGAGGCCAGACTACATAAGAAATTTATCAAAGGGAATGATTTTTTATACATTAATCGATCAATATGCGTGTTTTTTTTCGTCGATTTATATTTTGCACTAAAAATAGCGTTTCAAGCCATGTTCACAGTGAGGCTTGGAAAACTCACGTAGTTGTTTCAATGACGTTGTCTCTTGCGTCGCTGTCGCACGCATCAAGGACGAGCTGCCGAGTTGGTGACGACATGGTTGAAACGCCTACATCACTCTTCCAAGCATTACTGTGGGCAGGGCTCTTGACGCTCTTATAGTAGTTACTATTTAAATTGAGCCAAAAAACGCAAGCGTCGATCGATTAATATTGTTAAAAAATTCATTACTTTTTCACAAGTTATTTTAATAGGTCTGACCTTTAATATTAATTGTCATCAGTGCTGCAACTGCAACATGACCTCTAAACCCAATCATCAGAAAGGTTATCAACAGACTTCGTTAATTAGTCAACTTAACTTTACAATTATCCCCTCATCTAATGTCCGCCGAGCCTGGTGAATGCATTGTGAAGACAAAACGCGTATAACACTCGCCTCCTATTTAAAAAGAGATCGGTTAAAAATTAAATCGAACGCACTGTACATGCCATTTATAAAATATTTTATACTGGTGGACTTTGAAACAACAAGAGATTAGATATTACGTCAGCAATATAGCGTACATTTTTAATGGAGAAGTCTGAATCTCCCGAAGGCAAACAGTGAATTCCATTTATCAGTTGAATAATTCTTATTCTGGTGTGAAATTTCTTAAAAAGGCTTTCAGAAAGGCTGGTTGATTTTGACAACGTTATATTACCCTACTGAATATAAAGTGTAAGCATCTGTATACACTACATTTTATTTAAATTGTATTCAACTAATTTATTTCTGTTGCGGCCCAGATAGTAATTAAATAGTAAGTTTTTTTTATGTAAAATAAAACAAATTAGTTCAGTGTACGACAATGAAAATGTCAAAACATATAGCTTGTTTAATTGATATTTTGATTTCAAACTAAATGTTCATTTCGTGCGTCATAGCACATCAATCACATGACAGTATTTATGTCCTAATTTTTCAAGAGACCCAAGCTTTCATTGATTAGGATTTCGAATCCTTATAATAATAATGTTTATTTTCCATTTTAAAAGAAATGTGGAAAGGAAGTGAAAAATGCTTCAATGCTCAATACATCGATACTTCAGAACATCAATGCTTCAATACTTCAGTACAATTGTGTGTTTGTGGCAAATAAGTGATCTCCTTCTGTTTTTCAGACAAGTGCACTTTTGAGATCTTCAGTCCGTGCCGCTTCAACACGGAATTCGTAAGTCCAAGATTGTGGTACATCGGTCGGAGCAGAGTGCTGAATATCCCTGACCACACCATGCAAGACTCTACTGGTAAGGAAAACACAGTCGTAAATGAAGTAATTTTTAGAAGTAGAATCCCGTTTTTACTCGTGTTTGATTTGTACTCTTTACTTTGATGACATGTCATAAATATTTTTTTGTTAGTTGTATTATAACTTTTATAGCTGGTGGTGCAGCCCAGTTTTGTTTTTAGGCTATGTGCCACACAATATCTTGTTTTATTTTTTTAGCTTGGACGCCGACACGTCTGTATAGCGTTAGAGGAGCTGTAAATAGGTTGAATTGTTTTAAAATATGTGCACATTAGCCGCGTTGTTTGGGTTTCAAACTTTACTCCCTTGCACGTCTGTTGGTTTGCAATTAAAACGTTTATTTATTTCACAACGCTGGTGGTCCAGTGTAGCACATTGATACATTTCGTTTCGCTGATACGAAGAGCGGGTTCATTACATGCATACACATTCGGGCATCCATGGGTAATACATGCGTGTCACATATATTTTCTATAACCTACAAGCAGGATTCTTAATGACCTTTTAAAACCCATCTAGTTTTCAGTTGCATGCCTAGAGCTAATGGATTTTGTATTATTGATGTGTCACTTGATATTAGCGGATCATTTCATTTGTGCTCAACCAGTTGATCACTGAATTATGGCACATGACTATCGATATAGGCATCATGATTACTGCCATAGCGCGAGTACAATTGTTCATATCTAGTTAAAGCTCTTGAGTTTTCCTTTCAATTCCAGCAGCTCCCTGGCTTAGATATTAGTTTATTATGTAATTCGGTGAGAGCAGATTTTAATTTTTACCTGTGTTCAACCCTGTAACATCTTTATGACGAGTGACTGCTTGCTGCAAGACATATTACCCAACATCACTGTATTGTATATAGGCTAGCAAAAAACATGGCCTAAGCTTATAAAGAAGCACATTGATCATGCATTGAAGCCAGTCACGTGACAAATGCTACGTCTTCTGTCTGGTTTCTAAAGAGTCTCTGTAATAATTGTTCGGCACTATGAAATAATAAAACACTTCCCTCTAAACGCTGCACACACACTTGTTCAATTGAACTTTATTCGTGAATTTGCACAGGCCATTTTTTGTACGTGAACACAACCGTCGTTGATCCCGCCCACCCTGAGGCCAGAGTCTTCCTCGAGCACCGTGGTCCCAGCCCCGCCACGTGCGTGACCTTCTGGTGGAAAGGCATCGGAAAACCCAGCGATCTCAATGTATACGTGTAAGCCCACTCGACGGCACTACCCTACTGAAAAAGCCCATGATCATATTAAAAAAGCTGAAAAAAAGAATCGTAGATGAATTATTTAATAAACAGATCAATTGTATATGGCTTATAAAGGTACATATATATTTGTATATGTTTTTATATGTTTAGTTTTTAAAACAATTAGTTTTTTACTGGGAGGCTCCCATATACGTACGTTCTATAACAGCACGCAAAATACCTATCTAAAATATATGGGAATTGTGTTGCATACGTGAAATGTTCTAGCATCGATTAGCCCACCCCTATCTTCCTCTCCCACCTATCAGCCAATCAGTACAGAGCCTTGCCGCCACGCTTTTGTCTGGGCTTCACAAAATTCCGGACACCTATATAGACAACGTTTCACGTTAAACATCCGACATTTAGATACTTTTATTAGTGGACGTGAACCATTTTAAGTGATTCAAGACTATCTTTCTTACAATACACGTATTATACCGATCGAATACATGAAACATATTAATATTTGGGGGTGAAAAAAAATGCTATTTATATGTCCCCCACCTGACAAAGAAGGTATAGTAGAGGACCATGGCCGAATATCAAATTGATCTGTGCGCTCTTCATTGAGAAAAATGTTTATAACGTGATATGGTTCTTTCATATGATGTCAATAAAAATTAGCGGTATAGGTGAATATATTTTTAATGGAGGATCACATTGAATTTACAATAAAATTATGTTACAAATAAAATTAAGCTTAGATGATTTTAAAACGGAGTGGTACTAGAGTTATTTTCACAGTTGAAAGTGCCAGTTTAAAGTGTGTTATTTATTCGGAAACACTAAGGCTTGTTTAAAATTATTTATAATTGTGGAAGATAATTGGTAGCCAGCCGATATATACAAGGTGTATGGTTTTAATTCCCACCTACATTTTTTTACGAAAGGGGTTGTAGTTATATGTGTTTTTACCGTTTAATTATCAGACACGGCGGACATCAAATAATGAGATAACCGTTAAGATAAGTTCTCGAATTAGCTAGAATCATTTTATTTTTATTATCTTTTTTTAACTTTTATAGTTTATATAGCGAATGAAGTTTCAGAGACAGCTATTATGAGAGTTTAAATCAATATCAAAATTTATGAAATGCCGATGGGCTTTGAGATATTCAACAATTTGTTTTTGCATTGTCTGATTCTCAACGAAGGTGCAAAAAGGGAGCCAGAACTTCCGTTCACAACGATAGATAGAATTGTGACGTAATCTCTTGGTGCAGCTCGTCATTATCTTGGCAGCATGTCCTTGGAGGATGCGCCGACGTCGCGATTCCGACATAATGGCGAAGCGCCCGGAACGAGTGCGTCACGCTTCCATGCGGTAATAGGATTAAGAGTTTCCGCCGCTCTGTCTGCGTCCAGTTCAAAATCATTTCGCAAACACACGAAAACTAAGATTTGACACCAGACATTTAGGTCGGTTTGAACTCTAATATTGTCTGTCTCGCATACTGCAATTGCACCGTGACCCAGCAATCCAATCATTAAAATGCGAAATTGCCTATTTAAAATTAGGTTGCCAGCTTATATGGTGACTTTTACACCATCTAATATCAGACAAGTCAGATCAAATAACGAGTTAATGAAGACGGCCTTTTTGTAACTTACGTCTATTTTTATTCAATTTGTTCCAAACAAAATATAGCAACCTGTATCTAGATTTTTTATGCTTCTATTACAAGAAATGAAAGGTTGCTAGTCTTCCTTGTCATACTCTCTGGTTTACTTTATGACAACTTTGAGTAGCACCACTACCACTGCAGTCACCCACAGCTGAAGGAACAAAGGGCGTGTTTTAACGTTTACACGCTTCTTGCTCTTTAGCTTCGTTCTTCAGCGTCCTGATTGGCCATTTACAAGGTCTCGTGGGATAAGTATTGATAGTAATTGATGATGGGGGGGGGGGGGGGGGGGGGATCGACACTCGCCAGTCTAAGTACAATTAAAATCGCATCTTTTAGTTTGGTTGTCAAAAGAACAAGGGACATCTGAAGTGCGAGAGAAGTTTCAGTGACACGGCGACTCCTCCGCAATACGCCTCTTTCAGATTTGCGCAGCTCAGCCGGGATTCAAACCCACCAATTGGGCCGGTGTTTCGCCTCAAAGCCATCGAGGCGGCTACAAATTTTTCACTACCTACGCTTCTTAAACTGTATCTGACTATAGGTAATGAATAACTCTAGGTAAATGCCTCAGTTCCAAACACATGTGTAATGCCGAAGAAACATTTTCCTCGTGTCAATACTGCAGAGGTCGACAGTATTAGTGTGGGCTTCATGCAAGCGAGATGAAAGTTGAAAAGTGCCTTCAGGCTTCCAGCGATACGCAATATAAAGCGTATTAAAGCATAATATGCTTTTTAACGCTACCCCGAATCTCAAATTTTCGTCCGTCCGTCCGTCCGTCCTTTTGTCCGTGCATTTTCTGCTACATTTAGCGGGGAAAGTGGTATCACGTGACGTTACGTGGCGTCACGTGACCTAAACAACAATTCAGTTACCCCCTAAATTTAGCGGGAAAATTCACGTCATGTGACCGAGACACCAATCCAGATTCTCCGTTAAATTTAGAGGCTGAAATCGACGTCACGTGACCTATACAATATTCAGTTTCCCCGCTAAATTTAGTGGGAAAATTACGTTTTGTTACACGCCAATTCATTATAATGCGTTTAAGGCATTATAGGACTTCAGAAATAAAAGTCACTTCCAATTTTTTTTCTTTATTTTACGTTTGTGCAGCCACAGAAAAGAAACTGCGCTGAGGGACCCAGTCCTTTCTGTGTTCACGCGACCAACACCCCACTGGTGGAACCCACGTTCTGTCACAGTTTCCTCAAAGACCAAGTGGCAGGTAAGTTTTAATTAATCATCTTTTTGCCTTCTACATGTCAAAAAGCATGACTTTGTCTCGTAAAATGTTGGGCATTCCATAGATATTTATTGCAACTTAAAATACGAAGAACGGCTTTCTAAGCCGGCCATAGTTCCACGAGCGCCTTAGAAATTCCTAGTTTAGATAGGTGCATGAGAATTATTACTCTTTATCAATAAAATATTCATATTGCTGATACTGCCTGGGGCGTTCCACCGAACATTCAGATTTTGGCTCTCGCTTTTAGGTTGCACGAACACGTATGACGAAAGTTGAGGAAAGCTTTATAACCGACTTAATTTCTCACGGGGAAACTTTCACCATCTTACTTGGTGTCCAAAAATAAAATATTTGAAAATATACGGGTGAAAGAACCGTACTTGATCGGTTGATTATTCTGCATATTGTAAATTTATATTTATTGCTTACGGGCCAAACTTATTTATTGAAAAAAGTACACTGACCATTACAATACTGTTCTTGGCAGTTCGCATCCCCATTTAAATAAAGCGCACCTTTTCAGATTTTCTATAACTCTAGAAAAATATAAAGATTCCGGCCAAATGTGTGTACTTTTTTGGACACCAGTTCAACGTCTACTTTTTTTTTTTTTTTTTATTGGGTTTGTATGCGAAGTGCAACTTCGTCTGCCTCTTGCGTAGGGGTTGCGCTGACGTCAAAAGGCCGAGTTCTAATTGGCTCCGATTAGAAGCATCGTCATGGTAGACCTCAGTGCTAGCTGCCTAGAGGTCAAACCACTATGTTTCTAATCGAGCAAATCAGATCTCGGCGTTCTGACGTCACATCAACCCCAGCGCAAGAGGCAGATGAGCTTGAGCTGTGCATACGGCGAGTAAGTTCGTCTGCCTCACGCGCAGAGGGTACAAAGGCGTCAGAGCGTCGATCTCTGATTAGAAGGATAAAGGGTAGACACAAAAAGACACGTTTTCTTTCTCTCTACCCCAGTGTATCCCTCCAATTAGAAAGGAGAAGGTCGTTATCAGCTCCCGCAAAGAGAAAGCAGTAGCTTGTTGGCCTGGCGGTCGGGCGCCGAATGCCGGCGTCATCTGCCAGACTTAGCAATCGGTGTTTACACCTACGGATAACCTCACGGTCAAGATGTCGTCTGCTGGGGCGGAGGTTCGCCGTGCTCGTCATCACTCCCTCTCATCGCTCCTTCTTTCCTGCTCTTCTGGTTCAGCCAAGACTTCCTGTAGTTCGTTTATGTTCAAACGCAGCTGAAGCTACGAGGTAATGGGACCAATCAAGCAGCATCAAAAGCGCGAGTCACTAAGCCTTTTTGTGTGTTTATGCTTGGTTCAGCGATGATATGACACGTACTGATAGATACATGACGAGCACAATGATGGTGCGCTTTTGTCTCATTGGTCCTATCATCTCATAGCGTAGTCAGCGTATGGAATTAAGGTGAAGCGAAATATGGAAGACACAAGGCCGGGGGCCGAGTTTTCAAAGTCACATAAAAGAGGCAAACGCGAGACAGACTGGACACGAGTGCTGTGATCGGCGTTCGGTTGAGAATCGCGTCTCCAGTAAACCGAGCTCGGGAGTCAAGCCGAATGCTTATGCACCAGACGCATCCAACCTGTGCCCGCATTGGCCTCTTTAGGTGATGTCAAATATTCAGCCTTCGGGCCTCGTTAACCGAGAGATATTGTGGCGAGCAGTTTAATCACTGCTTACTCGGCGTATCAACCGACACGCTGTTTGCGAACAAGCACCACCAGAGAGCAGCGCCACTTCAGCGGAGAGACTTCAGAGCCACCTGTTCGGGGTGCATAGACCGTTTCAGTAGTCGCGATTCTGCGCACTGCCGTCTTTGTCTGCCGGGCTGTGGAATGCGTACTGAGCGCACGCGCAGTAGTGGCTTCATTCTGCGAAATATCGGGCGCTTCGATTGCGTCCACAGACAAGTGACGCGAGTTTTAATTTAGGTGATAAGAGATGGAAAGGTGTGCAATGTTTACACGTGTGTTCGTGTCTTTTCGCATGGTGATGTTTCCCGGTGGTCGTCGGGCATTTTTGGGAAACGAGAGAGCACGTTGGAACCCGAATGTTCAAGTCGCGTTCAGCTCTCTACTGCCGGTTGTTTTCCTTGCTTCGGCATTATCACGGGCAGCAACGCCAGAGAAACGCTTAATACGACACAGGCTTGGGAATCTAGGAACCTAAATTGTGTCTAATGTAGTTTTGCTCCAAGGCATTAGTTAGTGCCGGAATGCTTTTTCTTTGGCATTTCTGCTGGATTCCTCTGGCTCGCCAGATAAATGCCAAAGTGCCAGACTTTACCAAAAGGTGCCACGTATGAAACTAAGCACCAGGCGTAAAGCCTAAATATGGCACTTGCTTGGTAACGCAGGCCCAAGCTTGCCGCGTAAAACCGAATAACCTAAGATAAAGCCTAATTCGGGGTTTTGTTCGGTGATCCAGGTCTAAAGATGTCAGGTGACGGCCAAACAACTAGCACTGAAGCCTACATTTTGCGCTCGTTTGGCGAATTAATGCCCAAAGGAAGCGTGGTTCAACTTTGGCTTGTTCTGGCTTTCTAAATCCCTACATTGTAAGGCAAAAAAAAATTGATCCTAAAAACCTGGAACAGCATTTTATTTGTAAACAGGAACCACAACCACTTGCTTCACCCTTGACGCCTGTCTTTTCAGCTGGTGTTCGAAGCTGTCTCGTTCCCGTATTTCACCGGACAGTCTGGTGTAATGGTGGACGACGTCGAGTTCACCGATGGAGAGTGTCCGCCTGAGAGTAAGTGACGTAACAAGTAAATAATTTTAAACTTATCCTAATTATATAATTGAAGTCGTAAAACACGCACTGTATAGTGTGTTTTGACCTGCGCTGGGTGTTCGTTTATGAGCCTATCTGATTTCGGGGGCAAGGCTAAATTTCACTAAACTTGCCGAACTTACGACGCAATAAATTGAACCCAGGATTCCTGGGTTCTGCAGCAAGAGCTTTCCTTCCACGCACTCGGAAGAGTTGTGCGTTAACACACTAGGCTACAGCTACAGTTGCAAGAAAAACCTGAAGGGGTTTATTAAACCGGTTCAGATTCCCCGATAAATTTAGCGGTAAAACCGGAATTGGCCGGTGCTCTATACCAATTAAATGTCCCTGCTATGTTTAGCGGGGAAACGCTTACCGCTAAATATTGTGAGACAGAAGCCTGCTAAATATAGCGTATTACACTGCTGCGTTACATGTCCTCTTGTAATAGTTTATTAAACACAACCCCTAACCACAGCCTGTCTATCAAATTGATAGTATAATATTAGAAGAGTCTTTCAGAATCGTTGGCGAGCCTCCACTCGTACGTGACTCCCTCACATGCGAAAAAACGCATTTAGTTTGTCAACGTGCTCGTCGTAGAATGATTTCAGAAGCCCGTATACAATAAATTGAGTAGAACCTTCGTTGTGTTTTTTTAAGTAACACGAGTAATAATGCAAGCCGAAGACTTACACTATGAATATGTTTTCAGACTACTGCACTTTCGAAGAGGACGTCTGCATTCCATGGGCTGACGTGAAATGTAAGCTCAGCATCCAGATTGTCATCGAAAGAAACTTAAAATATTGTTTTTTTAATGATTTTGCTAGTAGTAGTATTTTTAAGCACGGATATTGATATCATCAACCATTGCTGGGCAATCCCCGAAGAAACAAATGCAAACGTGGCATCTATACTGAAGGATGATATTCGAATGTGATATTAACTTTCTTGTTGAATTTAGCCCAAATCATGTAGAAATTGCGGGATGACTAAAATAAATAGTATCGTACAAAAACAAATACTATGTTTTATAGCGAGCATTTTATATACCTTCACTAGTTTCTTTGCCTTTATTCACTTTGTTTTCTTTTCATTTTTTTTTTTTTTAATTGTGACTTGTTCAACAACATTTCCACCTTAACAGAAGGTTCGTGGCACGTTCGGCTGTATAAAATATGAGTGCTTTGATATAAACTAATTTTCGCCACGCTGTCTCTTGCGAACTCCTCAGTGAATTCAAGCACAGCCAAACTTGAATGGGAAGTGGAGCGTGCTGGAAGCTTCGAACGACTGTCCAATGATCACACGTTGGGAACAGAGGACGGTGAGTTTATAATTTTAGAACTTATGCGCCAAGTGCTCTACGAACATGAACGCCATACGTTTTACTGGACGAGTTTGTTTGGCCGTCCTCTTCTCCCCAAATTTTGTAAAGATTTGGCGTCGAGCTTTTCTTTTGTATCTGGCTGCAATACTTATTTAGAAGGCACATACGACCCACACCACACATATTCCGTAATACAATAATAAAGAACCTTATGACATACTATTTTTTTAATGAAGAACGCAAGGGTCAATCGGTTGTTTGGTCACGGTTGTCTACCGTGCCTTCTCTGTAGTTTACGTATGAATAGTATTGCTGTTTATTTTCACTTGTCTTTAATATTAATTGAATTAGCGTTATACTAATTAAATCAAAGTGTTGCATCACAGCAGCCGACATTATTTATGCGTATTTTATATTATCAATGCATGTCTAAAATACGGAACATTCTCTTAAACGACTTAACATTTCAAGGTCCGCTGATAAAATTACTTGATTTTCACTTTTTCGAACTTCGTCATTCATGTGGTATTATCGGATATAAGTAGTATGGGGGCATAGGTTTTCTTTTTTAACATAGTTTTTATACACATGGCTTCATTTAAAAATATAATTGCTACTTCATACTTTAGACCCATGTTACTGTTAAACAAAACAAAACGAAAAAAAAACAGGGCGCCAAAGAAACACGCTTTTCGTGTAAGGCTAGTCATATTATGAGGCGCGGGAGAAAACCAGCCTTCTGCGTTATATCCTTATGTTGAACTATTTTTATTCGCGTTCCAACCATTGAAAAGCATGCGGGGAGGGCCTCAGCATGCACCTCGTATCGCTGCAATGCAGTGTTCTTCCGCTGAATAATTACTTGTAATGAGTGCCGCACAAATCTCCTCGCCATTAATGGGGAGACTTGGGGCTAGTGAGAAATAAAGGAAGAAATACTAACCAAGTTTGAAGGGAAATTAATGGACTGAAAAAGCGCTCTAGGTCGCACGGTTTAGTGCCACTGAACAAGCTACGCTCAGAGTCGCGACGCTCTAGCCGTCTTGTTGCTTAATATAATTGTTGCCAGTTATCTAAATCTTGATCTGATATCGCAGAAAACGATTTTACGTCCTCCAGAACTGATTAAACAGTTCACGACATAACAAACCAACGTCGCCGGCGCTTTCTGACAACATATACCTAAAAACCAAGAAGTCGCATCTTTTAATCGTATCATCGCCCATCGTTAGCCCTCTGCAAGAGCCAACAAAATGTCGGCGCCTACATGACAATCGAGAAATGAAGCATCGGTACTCTAATCATAGTTTATAAAGTGACTCTAGTGGGATTCATGCTCATAGTAAATCTTCTTCCTTTCAGGCCATTACTTGTTGTTCAGAGGCACAGGAAACGTCATGGACTCGGCTGTTCTCGAGCTACGGGAGCGTCGCTTTCAGTGTGCCAGTTTCTGGTACTTCATTTCCGCGAGCTCCAGCGGATGCCGCATTGAAGTCGGCGACAATGTCTTGCGTAACGCTACGCAGGGTTGGAAGCACTACACCTCTGACTTGAGCTTGAGCTGGGTACTACAGTATGGGGTAAGTATTATTCGGGGTTTCCAGCTATACTTGACGAGGAAGTACACCTGAGAAAAGTCTAACTTGGCCCAACTCTGGCAATTCTGCGAGCCTGACCCGGGTCTAACAGGCTTTATTATAAGCCGCTAGTTAGGGCCAAAATACTTTTCTATGACTCTAACTATCAAAACAAATACCAAACCTGGCTTCTTTTAGTTCAGCGCGTAATTGCGAAAGTGCCAGGTGTAAACCAAAAATACCACCTGGTAGTCGATTAACCAGCAATGAAGCTAACTCTGGTACCTGTGTATCGATTTTCGTTCAGAGGCGACCTGTTACAACCGAATGACCAGAATTGAGACCTAATTCCGGCATTTTCATGGAATCTGACAACCAAAGAAGCCAGGCGACGATTGAAGATCACTAGGCAATGAAGCCTATCTTTACCACTTGTTCGAAAATTTGGTGCAAACATACTCAGACTTTGGCCAAATAATATCAAGTTTGGTTATACCTTTGACTTTTCTGGCTTTCATGGCCCCCAAGTAAAAGATGAAGCCATATTTTGGCCCAATAAACCATGCTACTTGTATATGACACATCAAGGACGTTCTGGAAACGACGCTGTTATTACAACATGTCTTTATGTTAAGGCCTACTGATGAAATGAAGGTTCTTCACCCACATACAGAGAAAGTTTTAGGTTTGATCAATCAATTCCTGGTAGTTGCGGTACTAAAAAAGTAATTAATAGTTGTTTTGTCCGACTTTAGAGAGCCGAGTTTTGGTTGTTTTGTTTTGAATGTTTAGTTGCAGTCGTTTTATTTTTCAATATTTAAATTATGCCCAGTTCTTGAGGGTATTACAAAATATAAAGTCAAACTGAATCACAAAATAGTAACTACATTTGTAATAAACAAGCATACATAAAAATTACCAAATAAGTAATGGGTCACTACAGAAGTGGTTAGCGATGTCCCTCCTGAATACGTTAATGTCAGTAATAGTATTCGTCGACCTGGGGATATAATTTCATTTTTCGCGTGTACGATTGAAGTGAGGGAAATGTTGTGGTTTGACGTTTGAACTTTGTGTTTATAAATAACATTATAAATAACACGGGACGACATTATCAGAGATATATTACAAAATTGTTTACTATAAAACCATAAGACTTTACCTTTTTCATAGGCATTAGAGTCAGTTGTTGCGATGAAGAAAGAGGCAGTAAAGCAAAACTAATTTAGACTGCCGTGACACTGGCAGTGTGATTACATTTCGATTCTATAAAATGTACGGATCTATTTTGGTTTGACCAAGGGACAAAGGTGCCGTGATTCGTATTTATTTATTTATTTACAATTACCCTCAGGACCCGAGGGGCACCACAGAGGAGAGTGGTTGGTTAGTACAATTCTAAATTTAGCGTTATCGGTGATGGGGACCATGTCATCGGGAAGGTCATTCCAGTCCACAATAGCTTCTGGTAGGAGGGAATGTTGATGGGCTGTTAAAATGGTCTTGGGGCGGGCATTCGTGCATGAATGATCAAGTCTTGCCGAGATATAGCTCGGCTGTCTGAGGAGAGACTGCCGTAATAGTTTCGAATAGTAAATTTGATAAAGAAAGCCAAGACGGAAAGTTCAGCGACGAACGAAAAGATCAGCAAGAGCTCATTGAGATTTCATTGCAGTGACACTAGAAAAGCGAGAGTAATTAGAAAGAATAAATAGAGCAGCACAATTTTGAATATATTCGATTGCGTTAGTTAAGAAAGACAGATGTGTGTTAAAAGATCCAGGCTCCATAGCCACTCACAACTTAAGAACCGGAGGACGAAGCCTAATCCCATATACATGCTTATACTTTGTATTCCCTCTTCGAATTTAAATTATTCATGCCGGAATTTGATTGGCTGCGGTCCGATAATAAGATGCGCTGGACAAACCACGCTCTGTGTTTTTTGAGTTAACGATGACCATAGGGCTGATAGGTGTTTTAAGAGTGTCAATTTAGAGACACGTGTGCCAATGAGACTTACGATTATATTTATCCCAAGATAAGATCGGCACGAGAAAAACTATACTGAATGTAGAGCTTCCGTGATAGGTTAGAACGCACACGAACAAACACGGAACATGTTTGTTTTATTGTTATTTTTTAAAGGCGTAAATTTGCAGATGTCTGTTGGGCGGCCCAACAAGATCTCTCACGCTTAAGACCCATGTTTGGACGAGGTTTGATGTGTCTTAGATTCTTTTCAGGTATAAGCCATTAAAGAGACAACTATTCTCGTAACAGGTGACAATCCGAGCCTACTCCGGAACCGACGACACTGCCTTCGTCGCCATCGACGACATTCGGGTGGACGAACGCCAGTGCACCGAACATGGTGAGTCATCATGTTGTTGAACAGGCGGGTGCTGGGGCACCATACGTGCTAAAGAATGTTAAACACCTATTTCCCCACAAAGCGCTTGAGAGAGTCAATCGTTGAAGTATGCTCGTGGAGCTTGGTGAATAAGGAAGCGAAACATAGTATTAAACCCAAATTAAAAAAAAGTCTGGGCTGGTACACTCAGCGTGCCGTTTCACGGGCTTTGCGGTATGCTCAGGGTAACAGCCAAGATTGTTTTCCTTTTAGGTCTAAGGACATAACATTTTGAACATCCTCATTCGCCGAGATGCCCGTGTAAATTTCAGCGATTGGATCTCCCGGCAGGTCCCGAGAGCTTTATTCTCCCTCCGCAGCCCAACGAAATCGCGTCATTCGCCGAACAAGGGCCTCGGAGAACGAACCCCGAATCGAGAGGTGGCAACATAATACGATACAATCTGCATCTCTTAAACAGTTAGTGTAAAAATTGGCGGCGACCTTTACGTTCAAAGTTCTATATTTCATGAAATGCATTATGGGGAAACAGCCCCAAGCCGGAAATTTTGCCGCTAAATTTAGTGGGAAAACTAAGTTCACGTAGAGGTCACTTGCCGTCAACTTCCCCAAGGTGTATAGGTCATGTGACATGACGTGACTTAACATTCCCCGCTAAATTTTTCACAAAATGCACAACCGGACGGACGCACGGACCAAATTTTAAAATTAAGGAGTAGCGTTGAAAAAGAAAAAAATTTCTGGCTTTACAATTAAAAATGAGCGTGTTGGTTAATAGATACAAAACTTGAAAGTATAAAACAGAGAGGACGATGACGGGAACAGGAAATCTTTCATTTGGCAACAACATAGAAAGGCACAACGATAAAACCGCCCCCCAAGGGTCTCAAGTCTCAACGCTCTCAAAGAGGGAAAGGATATACTAGTTATAAAGGAAAGGGAATATACTAAAAAGAAAAAGTTTGAAAAGCGCATCAGTAATCTAGTTATCTCCGATTACTTTGAATTCAACCTTTGTCATTGGCGCATCAGTAATCTAGTTATCTCCGATTACTTAAAATACAACCTTTGTCATTGAAATATCACTGACAATGACAAAGGTTGAATTCTAAGTAATCGGAGATAACTAGATTACTGATGCGCTTTTCAAACTTTTCTTAGTGTATTCCCTTTCCTTTATAACTAGTATCACCTTTCCCTCTTTGAGGGTGTTGAGACCCTTGGGGGCGGTTTTATCGTTGTGCCATTTTATGTTGTTGCTAAATGAAAGATGTCCTGTTCCCGTCATTCGTCCTCTCTGTTTTATACTTTCAGGTTTTGTTTCTGGCTTTAAAACACGTGGATTGGTAAAAATATAACCTGCCAATTCGTAATATTTGGGACGTCTCGCTCTCAGTCCAACCGGACCCGGCGCTACGATATTTTGGAGCTAATCAAGACTCCCAAAAGTGCTTCGTCATGGCACATGCGGCGTGTGACTTCGTGTTCCTTTTTCATTTCTAGTCGTAATTGGTTTAGCCGGTTATGGCATACGCACAAAGTGCATCATCACGCAACACTTTTGGCGGTGCCTACTTGCCACCATCAAATCGTAGAGTCGACTGCGATTGGACCTGCGCCGCGTTCACACTGGAGGTTCAACCGCGTCCTCAACCGCTTTGCGGACGCGGTTACTCGAAGACGCAATACAAATTCCCGCGTAATTTTACGATGAAATCGAGCAAATCTGCTTCACGGTTGCGATTCCAAAGCCAGTGAGAATGATGCCTTATTTCGTGTTTACACTCGCGAAATCCGGGGCGGATCAGCGCAGGCAGAAAGTGGATTTTGGAGCCTGGTGGCGAAATGGACGCGTCGCAGACGGAAAATCTCGATATGGGTCCTTGACCGACCCGAATTCTCCGCCAGCGACGAGTCGAATTCGCCACCAGGCTCCAAAATATATTTTCCGCCTCCGCAAATCTGCCTCCGCAAATCCGCCTCCACAAATCCGCCTCCGCAAATCCGCCCGCGAATCCGCAAGCGTAAACGCGCCGTTCGAGTGGAACGGAGCAGCCCTGCAGTCGGCAACGGTCAGGCGGCGCCGTCAGTGTGAGAGCCCCAAAATTATGCCCTATCGAGGTGTAACTCGGCAAATGGCGAACGCTACGCGCTGCATTGTGCTCCGACGCCTTCGATATGCCATACGTACACGAGCCCAACGCGCACATATGGGAGCATGACGATACGTAGCACGTGCCTCACTCCGTTGTTCCGATTGGCCCGCAGGAGCCGTAGCTTCCGCCGTACTGGCATGTTATACACCCACGGCTTCCTGGCCTACCCAACATTTCTTGCTTGTGAAACTAGGGTCTGCGACGTTGTCAAAGTGCTGCATGGAAGCTGCCACTTCCATGCATACCCAATGTCTCGTACTTTAATCGCTAGATAACGCCAAACCAAACGGCATTGCAGGTCCCGAGTGACACGTATACGTATATATCTATAAAACTTTCTGCACTTGCAGACACGGTGATCACGGATGACTTCGTATGTAGCATTACCACTGAAGAGACGGTTCCGATGGACAAGGTGTGCAACTTTGTCAAGGACTGCTCAAACGGTGTCGATGAGGCAGATTGCGGAAGCTGCGACTTCCGAAGTACTCCCTGCGGCTGGGACCTCGGACGTCTCGGAGACAAAGGTCTGCTATCCTGGCAGAGAAGGCAAGTTGGAGAAATTCCCGGAAGTCCCAAGCTTAACCACGACGACACCACAAACGGTATGTACGAGGATCCACGATGCAATCGAGGAACTTTCTTGCCCGTGCTGGCGGCCAAATATTGTCATAGATCAAAAGAGCAGAATAAGTTAGAACTGAAAGACATCATTTATTGGCGCCTCATTAAAGGTCAAACGGGCACCGGGCATTATCCGACGGCAATGGAAAAGTGACTGTGCCAAAGTAGCTCGTTACCGCTGCCTTTATGCAAGCGGTGCGTTCACGAACGTTGCGAACCAAAACGCTGGATGACTGACAAGTATGAGCGGGAACTTTTGGAAAGAGTGGAGGTAAATAAATCGAAGATCCGTCCGAGCAGGGTTCCAACCCCTTTCCTCCTTGTGGCAGCCGCTTGCGTTGCAACGTACTGTTCTAGTCACTGACATGGAAACAGGAGCGAGGCGTCTTATTCCGATGTTGAGCCTCCAGTACTTGTTTGCTGCTTTCCGTCCTACTTCGGCTATGGGCTCTCGCTTGAGGGTCGCGAGACGCCGAAGCGTTGTCGAAAGTAAGAAGCTCGCGCGCGAAGCGGGACAACTGAAACTCCTTCATGCCGTTCTCATCTTGTCAGCGACAATACCTGTGCATTCCCGATTGCGATCCGGTTGTAAAATGATCGTATAAATGTGTGTGTGTGTTGTGTGTATACTTATACAGCCTGAACTAAGTCTGCCTCTACGTGCGACATGTCTCTCAGCTGTAGATGAGAAATTTAGCTCATCTACAGAGTAAGCCAATGAACTGAGTACAACTAAAATGTATTTGTATAGATATCTATAGGCAGTAGATTCATCGTACTCAAACTTCATGAATGTAGGTTTGTGGGAAAAAATGCAAACATTATAAACATGTTCAAAACGAAAACAGAACGTCTGGTTGACGCTGGTACTCCCAGGTGGCTCCATATAAAAAATAAACTTGAAAGCTTCTTTTAGGACGAACACCCGAGGCGTATCCAGTAAATCTGAGCGCGTGTTGTAAGAAGCAGCGTCAACGACATAGTTTGTTTACGTTTTTCTTCGTGTGCACATGAATAACAAATTTTGACGTTCCTGCTTCTTTTTGTCTTTTCTTTTTGCAATTTTTGGTGTTGAAACCGGTTGATTTGAATATGAGCAATTTATTTTATGCAACTAGACTGGCAACAACTAATTTACGCTACTTGGCTATACTTAAAAAAAGCATGCAACATGCGCTTTCAGGGCAAATGAGGTATGCTTTACATAACCAGAACGTACTACCCTTTGCGAAATTCCCAAAAGCCCGCTCGCGCCGGGCGACAAATAAGGGAGTCCTCGGTACCCATAATGGGAGTCCGCACCCATCGCCTTTCCTCCCTCTACCACGTGGTATACGCGAGCAGGCGCAGGTTACCATGGCAACAATGTTCGAGCGGCTGAGAGCCGAGTCGGACGAGCGCACGGATATGGGAGAAAGGGTATTGCGTTGGCTATTTTGCGAGGCTGCCCCTATCTCATCCCTCTTCTTTGTACCGGCTCTGTCGTCTGCTGCACCCGCAGCAAACGACAGAGTTTTGTCTAACGTAGCCGAACCCTACTACGTTTGCGGTGAAACTAAGTGGATTAAGTGACACTGCCAGACGTGAAGGTAAGTACGACGAACAACGTATTCAAAGTGAAAAGCTTCACCCGTTGCGATGCGTTCACGCTTCCACTGACGTACAGTCGGGAGCAAAAGTTTGCGGGGCATGGGAGCGCGTGCCGAAAGGCATCGCCGCGCCGTCCGACGGCGCGCCGCCGCATTAAGGAGCCGCGCTTTGCGCATGCGCGCCTTTCGGGCTCGCCATCATGTCACTTTTGCTCGTTTCTTTCCGACGCACTCCTGATAACAAAAGTCGGCGCCAGGGGCGCGAAATAGCGCTTCGCTGGCTGTCATGCTGCGCGTTTACATCAGCTGCCTCGGCCGCCGCGATTTGTGACGGAGCACGCGGGGTGGGGTAACCGGGCGCTACGTCACCCAGCGTGGCTGATGAGGCAGCTGAAGAGGACTCGAGGCACGACAGTCAGCGAAACGGCAACTTGCGCCCCTGGCGCCGACTCCGGTTATCAGGAATGAGTAGGACAGAAACGAGCGAAAGAGACATGACTGCCAGCAGGAAGGGCGCGCATGCGCAAAGCGCGGCTTTTTAATGCGGCGGGGCGCCGTTGCACGGCGCGGCGATGCATTTCGGCACGCGCTGCCGTGCCCCGCAAACTTTTGCTCCCGACTGTACAAAGTTCCCGTCGGATGGGCGGGATGGCGGATGGCTGCGACGGCTGCTGGCGGTTGCTGGCGCGACTCGCGCGCGGTCGCGCAGGCGCAACGAGAATGCGCGTGATCTGTACCGAGGGTTCCCAAAATCCCCTGCCGTCGCGGCGCCGTACATTTTGCAACAGGTCTATTTCGCCTCTCTTTCTGAGGTGTTGGCATTCCGTAACTGTCATGAACTAGGGGAGTAAACTCTCTTCCTCATTCTGAATCTACTAGCTTCGACTTTATTGCTGTTGCGCTGAAATACGTAATAACTTGGAAGGTCAGGTGGCTGCAATATTTAAAAATTAGTAAAGATCTTACTTTTGTTATTGAATTAATTTTCAAAAGAACAGGAAATCTAGCTGTAGTGCTATAACATACGCTTAGCTGTTACGTAACTATTATTAGATTAAATAAGAGCTTTGGAATATTGAGTACATTCAAAGTCCACTCAATCCAAGCACAGTGTTCTTAATTTGACATTTAAAATAAAAGTTGACAATATAGTCACTGGCAGCCTAAAAAAACAAAAATTGGGCGAGTCCTGAGCAGATAATCTCACTATCTCCGGAGAGCTTGTGAGGGTGCCGCGTTAACCAATGAGAAAGCCAGAAAACGAGCTTGGAGACAATAATGATGAACATAATAATCCGTACCCTCCGTATCTTAGCCCCCTTTCAACGACTATGGTGTAGTCGGTGACAGGTTAAAAACCAAGTGCACACCATCTCGAGCGCGAGCTTTCTGCCTTAGATGACACTTTGTCGCACGTGCAACCAAAACCCGGCAAATGGCAACGTTTGCGTGCTGCAGGCGGAGCATGTACTGGGTTTTCATTCTATCACCGGGTTAACTTTCGAAAAGGGAAGATTTTTAGGAACGGGCTCGCATTTATTCCTTAATTTTTGTTTTTTACCACTGTTTGCTTCAATTTTTGCAGGTTTCTATATGATCTTTGCGGGTGAAAAAGAGTCCAAGCACGTTGTGGGAAAAGCGATTGCATCGGCGCCCATCATCCGAAACACGGACCATCTTTGCTTGTTCACCTTCTGGTACAACTACGCCAGTGAGTTGCATACAATCTAACCGATTTTTTCTCTAATAACGGAATAATTTACGTGTTGAAGCTATGGTTGTTCTAGAAACTATTTGCGGCACAACTCTAGACCGGAAAAAAGGGCGCAGCGTTTCTGCGAAATTATTAGGTCCCCGGGGAAACTAAAGACCCCTCTATAAGGAAAAGTAACGGCCTCCTTTGAAGAGCGCCTCTTGCTATCCTCGGACGCTCATGATGGCGGTCGATTGCGGGAGGGCAATCCACACAGATGAAAAAGAATGCGCAGCCAAGGAGGAGAAGGAGGAGGAGGACGAAGAGAAGTGAAACGAAATGCTTGCCCCCCCCCCCCCCCCCCCCCCCCCCCCCCCGAATGCCTTACTATACTCTTCGTTACATCAAGAAATAAGGAAGTTTCGCGTATTATTCGTGCGCGGCACAAAGTAGTTCTTACAAAATTGGGTTGCCAGAGGAAGGAACTATGCTTTTTGATGTTTGAAACACGTGTAGGTCTTAATAAAATGACAGCCAGCTAATATAAAATTCACCCACGTATATTTTAACACACCATGTAAATTAGTAAACCAATAATTCTCTACAAGAAGAGCTTTTTTTTCTTCTTATTGTGGTTCTTGAGGCGAAGGCGGTTAAAGGGATGCATCTTATTAGATTTTAGTTTACACGTTTCTCGTATTGTTTGTCATGGTCTCCGCTGCCTTGGCGTCATTTCGCGCTTGACAAGGAAGTTTCATTTTCCTGCGTGTCTGTTAACCTTGTACGATGCACTTCTTAGATCGCGTCTTGAGTTCTCGTCCGCAATATGGAACTCTATTGCGACGTCACACAGCAATTTAGTTGAAAATGTTCAGTGTAGATTTGTACAAATGTTATTTGATAGATATATTGGCCGCCGCCGCTTTTACAGCTACCACTCTCTTTTGGTGGGCCTCTATCTTTCAATCTTTTAACTCTGCATGGTAGAAGAATTCCTAGAGATATACACTTTTTAATCAGGTTGTGCTTGGTTCTATTGACTGTTCAGAGTTGTTGATAACCTTGAGATCTCGTATGCCCTTTGGGCGGTCATCCAGCTGCCGAGACACTTTTTACCCTAACATGCGATCAATCTGTCCGATGACACGATTGCAACAAACCTGTAATGCCTTGTTCTTAGAATATGGCAGTTTTGTTTGATTTTGTTACTTAAGAAACATACATTTATATTCTGTATTCACTCACTGGAATCGCTTTTCAGTCGAAAAAATCGTCTGCTAATGCCGCCGGCTCTCGGCGCGGTATGCTCGTTCGTTGGCGGCAGTTGGCGTCGCGACCGCTTGCGCCATCTCTTGTCTCCCGTGCGAAACGGGGCCGTATTGTTTGAAGACCGGTGGCTTCGCGGCGTTTCCATAGCAGCTAAGACTTTTTATTTATTTACTTTTTCGTCAGGTAAGTTCGCTCTTCGCAAATTTCACCAAAAAAATGCACCATCTGTGGGCAACGCTGCACAAAATCGTAGCGCGGTAGGTTAAGAAACCGAATTTTGCGGTCGGTTTAAAGAGCCTGGCCGCTATTTCGGACATCCGGTATTACAAAATAAGTGCGAATGAAAACACTTAAATTGTAAGGGAGGAGGAGAGGAGGAGAGAACTTTATTAGAAATGAAAGGCCCAAGTCATGGGCCAGATTGAAATCATAGACAAACGGTTACTAAAATATATTTTCAAACATATTTTTTGTCAAAGGTTCGGTTTAATGAACCAAACGTAAGGGCGCAAACCAGCTAGTGAAGTTTAGATATAAACAAACCCCGAGACTGCTGGCAAGCAAAGGACGACACAGGCACAGAAAGTCTCGAACGCAGCTGAAATGGATTTCACTGGAGAAACGCTCAAATTGAAAATGCCACAAAGAGACACAAAAACCGCCAACGAAAAACAAAGAGGCAATCACCCTCTTTTTACACCAGTACTACTACAGCCAGACACTCACTCGAAAACACAAATTATTATAGTAAATCTTGCATTAGAAAAATCATGAAAGAAATAATATGCTGAATTACTATTTGTATTATGATTTATATCAAGATTTTAATCATAATAATCTATATTTTGCGTTCTGTTAAACATCATTTATTTTATCTGAGCATTTTTGTTTTGCCAAATCTCCAATGGGTCTGCGGCGGCTATGTAATGGTTCTGAGTTCCTGATTTTCCTTTTTCTTCCGCGACTATCTTCACTAGACACTTCCACCCACGTGGACCTTGAACTTGAAACCAAGGGGTACAAGATGAATGTCTGGACTTTGCGTGCCGTTGCACCACCGCCTTCAGAAAGAATCTGGCACCTCGGTTCAGTTGTTCTCGGACGCTACCCGGGAGAAGTGAGGGTGAGTCAGCGGATTTGGACACCACCACCACCTACAATTCTCAAAGGACGCGAACTAGCGTGTTGACGTCATCGCGGGAGATCCAGCGCAGACATAGTGTAAAAACGCGGGTGTTACAGCTTTCGCCTAGGCCTCGCGTCCAGTCATTGCGTCGAAGGATGCTCCGTGTCGTGCGCAGGTGCCGAGTTGGCGCCTTATCCGTGTGATGACGTCACCTGTAGACACAGAGCCCGCAACGCGTCTCCGACTGGTGCGCTTAGAGTCCCATTCTGCCGATGCATCAAAACTGGTGCCGAAGTGCTAAAAAAATAGCGTCACAAAAACAGGCGTCTCATGCTGTCAGGTGTCGCGGTCCTGGCGCGGTTGGTGTTAGAAGTCCAGGCAAAAAAAGCAGGAGCAGACGAGAGTGTCGCCGACGTTACGGTGTCTTAACTCCTGGCTACCGACATTTCTGTGGAGTGTCCGGCCGGACAGCTACGTGCCGCAGAAGAGGCGTCTGCCGCCTATCCACCACCGCTGCTATCACACCGCGTCAAGGTCGCAGCCGACGACGCCATGACACTTCCGTGACGTCATCGGGTGGAAATCGAGGAGCCACTTTTTAGGACTCGGTAAACGCACCGCTCGGAGACCCGCTCCAAGCACCACACTGTAACTGCTTAAACAAAATCGAAACTTAAAAAAGAAAAAAGTTGTATACTGAGTTATCGATCAGTAAGTCGTAGAATTTCGTTTTACGACGAACGCAGCGAAAGCTCATGCCCAGTCACTGTCTTCCTGGCGCTAGCCGCCGTTTCTTTTTAAAGCAGCACCGCGTCCTCCTTCGTGCCTTTTAATGTAGAATTGAATTATTACTTACGTTAGCTTTAATTTAGCCTAAAAGTGAGGCGTGTAGAGCCAAGAGAGAGCCGAAGAGGGTTAGCCGGCTGCGAAACACAAGTGCCGCAAGCTCCGTCGAACGCAATGGACCTTTTTCGAGAAGCGTTCTGCGCACGCGCTTGCATCCGATGCCAAGCTGCGGAAGTCGGCACGAAAGATCGAGGAAATTCGGAAGGAGGCTGTGGATTAGCGGGTAGAACACGTAATTGCAGCATATATATAATTCTGTTACAAAGACAAAGAAAGTGGACGGAAAGAAAAACACGACGTTTGGGCAGACGCCACGAATGCCCCTTTTTAAGGTCTTGTTGGGCTCGCGCCGCAACTCAGAGGGCGAAGAAACTGGTAGCGTAGCTCCCATTTTCGATTGGTAGCAGAAGTAGGTCACTTTCTCAATTTTAGTTCGTTTTGCCACCGCCTGGTGCCGTCGGTATGTGGAAAAGATCGATTGTGAAAAACAAAACGCTGAATTGGCAGGAATTAGAAGCCCGATATGCTTTGACGACACTTCATTTGTGAATTTTTTTTCGAAAGCGACAAAAGAAAGTGTACGAAAGGAGGACGCGACGACGCTAGAAACGGCGTCGCGTGCCTGGAAGGCTCAAGCTGGAGTTAACGTTGGCTGCGCTGCTTAAAAAAGTCATCCTGCATATGAGGGTGTGATCTATAGATTCAATATGACTGCATTATTTCCGTGTTGCTGCCGAAACCTTAAGGGGCACTGGCAAACGATTTTAGAAGCGCTACGGCGTCGCCTCGACCTCTTTCCGGCCTCTTATGCTTTCCTCCTTTGTTTGTGGCTTATGGAAGATGTTGGCAGCCGGTCACCTCTAGTGCTTTCTATGGTGCCACGCGACACGCTAAATGAACCCTCGCGAGATGAACGTCTGCTTCCTCAAGAATCAAATTCTGCGTTAAAAATATTCCCATTCCGACATGAATACACACCCTAACTCGGTCGACTAACTGCACGCACCAATAGTAACGCGCACGACGGTAATTTCTGGATTTTAAAACTCACGAGGCCGGTATATATCGTGTTACTACCATAAAAATGCCGACTCAGAAACATCTCTCACGTAACTACTTACAAAAAGCTAATCATTAAAATTATTTTGTTTTATTACAGTTCCTTATTACCATTACCTCGCTTTTTTATGCTAAAGCATTTTAATGCAAAAGCGATAAGTGTCCCATGGAGCGAAGCCGGCGTTATCCGCAGCAGCGAAAAACGTCACCAAAGTTCCCATTGACTGAGCGAAACGGCGCTTAAAGTCCCATTGGCCAAAAGCACAGCGACGCAGATGCTTCGTCAGGGAAGCCATGCAGCCGGCGGGGGTGCCGCGCCAGCGCAGTGGTGGAGCGTGAGGTCGCTGCCGGAGTGCCATAGGAAGACGTGGCGCGCTGCTTCTTGGAATGCGCTGCGTGTAGGAATGCAAAAGCCTTCCTACACGTAAAAAGTCTTGAGTGTTTTCGTTTAGTTATTTCAGTTCTCGGCGTAAAAACGAACGGTGCGCGCAACTGTTTAATATAGCTCACGAGTACGGTCACTGAGAGTTTATGATACGAGGGACGTGCCGAGTCGTGCGTACCTTATTATGGTCCAGCATCCAATGAGAGTTCGGCGTTCGCATATAACAACGTTCAGGGGGCGAGTCACTGAGCATAAAGTGTGAACACGATAAGCCATACTCTGCATCTCTCTGAAGGTTTCACTCTTTATAGACCAACACGCCGCTGGGGCGTGCGCAGAAACCATATTCGCGTGAGAGGAGGCGTCTGCACATGCGCTGTACCAACGGCAGCGCCACCTCAGAGGTGTGACGTCAGAGGGTTTAGCCTGAGTATGGCAGTCGGGATATCTACTTCAACTGCGGCGCAATTTGGCAGCGTCGCCCCTTTCGCGTTTAGGCGACGCCTGCCGTAGTTTTTGGCCACTGGCTCTGCGGTGTATCCGTGAGTTGCGCGTTCTCCACAGGTTTTTTGACAGCGGAGCTGTGAAGAACCAGTTTCCCCAGTATCGTGTCTGTCAGCAAACAAATGATGACACGAAACTCTGGACAGCTGTCGCCTTCTGTAAGCGACGGTGACAACCAGACAACCGGCTTGCCAGTTGTCTGGTTGCCACCGTCGCTCATAGATGGCGCAACCTTCCCAGCCTTTCCACTCTGGCTTTCCGACTTGCGGCCAGCCATTACTTCATTCCCACCGTAGTACAGCTTCGCTGGTCTTCCTTCTTGACCAAAGTAGAAAGGCTGAATTTTTTTTTTTTTTTAGGTTTTACAGATTTTTTTTTTTTAAAGGAGCCGTGAAAGCTACCTAATGGTGTTTGTGCAGGGAACATAATATGGGGACTGATTGTCACAATGCGAAATAATTGACTAAGATTTGTAAGTTACTTTTTTTTAATTATTGAACACAAATGTATGTTTCAATTAAAAATCTGCTGAGCGTCATCGAAAACCACTAAATGTAACCTTCATCAAATTAAAAGTTTCCTCATTCAAAATAACCCACTGACGACGTGATGATAGATATGCTTTCATCCACTTAAATATGGCAGTGTCTAGGTTTAGAAGCTCTAATTTGAGCAATAACAGTGACTGTGATACTGTGTCAAATGCTTTTTTATTATCTAATTACGTAAGCACGAGGTCGATGGTGGTGTCGGCACGCGTTGTCGGTGCGCTGACATCGGACACCACGCAGAGGCCCCATTCCGCTTCCACGAGGCTGAGGAACCACTCGCTACTGCGGCCGCCAAGGTCGACGTTGAAGCCGCCGGTTACGATTAGTGGAACGTTGTCGCTGCGCAGAGCACGGATTCGGCGAAGACTGAAATCGGTGAAACGTTTGTTGCGTGTTGGCCACGTCGGAGGTATTCGTGCACGGGGGCTGCTGCGTAAGATACCCGTTCCCTCCCAGCTTGCTCCTGGAATGGAGTACGGTCTTGACGCGGCGACGCCATTAGGAAGAGTCTGCGGCATTGCCGACGACAGCGAATGTGCAAGTTTTTCCGATACTGCTGAGCGGTGAAGGGAAGGTGTAATGATGGGGGCGTTCAGCGATGAGCGGAGATTGGGACGCATAATATTCTCTCTCCGCGCGGCGCGACGATTGGAAACACCCGATTTATCTTTCCTCGGGCCAAGAGAGGAAGAAGGGTTTCTCTTCTCCGCTGCGACGACCGACAGCAAGAAACGCCGCCAGCACAATCCCTGCTATGTGTCACCCGTAAAAATGCGAAGCGTGACCTGTTGTGTTCACGCCTATTGGTTCGGGAGTCGGTCTTGGGGCACTTTCAGTGGACAATTCAGCTATCTCGATGGCTGAGCAGAGATATTGATATACTGAGTTCTCGCCAAGACCGGCCTTTCTTAATATGCCGGTAGCTATATCTAAAAGCAGCGCGTCATTTGTGTGGCTTTAATATAGCCGCCATTTGGTTTATGTTTTCAGCTCCATTTTAGTGGGCTTCAGCACCCTGCGAATGTCGGGTACTTCGCCATAGACGAAATCAAGTATGCAGCCTGCGGCCTGCCTCGTAAGTGACCATCCTCGATTTTCTTGTGTCTTCTGATTAGTGTGTTACTTTAATTACTGCACTCCATTACCTACATTAAAAGCAAATAACATCCCGATGTGTGAGCAGCTCTAGGGTCGATGTTTGTGTTTTTGACACTTATTTTTTTTTTTTAAGCACCTGATCCTTCGTCATGCGAAGAGGACTTCAAGTGCGCAAATGGAGCTTGTATCTTCCATTTTGAAGTGTGCAATTATGTCGACAGCTGTGGAGATGGCAGCGACGAACATAATTGCGGTGAGTGGCATATTGCGATAAAAAATATAGGTTGACGCAATATTCACGAACTCTAAGAAAACGCACTTTATGAGGCCTCTTTAACCCTTCCCACATCACAATTTTTTATGTATTTTACTTGTTTCGTTTTACTTAGTTGCTTATTCCTAACCACAACTACTGCACGTATAAAATTTTAGTTTCGGAGGTATTCATTTGATCAAGTTCGCAGTTCTCCACATGGAAACGGAGTCAGAAGAAAAAGAGTGAAAACATACGGATATAAGACACCTGGAAATTATTCAGTGTAACAAAATATAGTGCTATGTGAAACAGTGACACGATGAAAGCATTGGCAAATCATTTTCAAGACAAGTTCAATCGTTACTAGCCTATACGAACAATTATAGGGATGTTTGGACATCATTCTGCAGTTTAACAGATATTGTTTCAGGACTTAGGCAACGAAAACATAACACACTTACTAATTGCAACGTTTATTTTGTCGTTGACGCGGTAGTCTATCTATCTGTGTTCAATTACTTCAGCTTTCCTCTGAGTACTGGGCATTATATTTTGCACTTTTCTTCCATCGTTTGAGTAAACTAAATTCTGTTGGCACATTATCAGCCTAATATTAAACAGTTTATTTGTAAGCTTGCTGGCACGTTATATGCTGTATTCCAAGCGGTGACTGATATTTGACATTTTCGCGACAAACAAACGTAACTTCTTTGTTGCAATAGCATATACGACAGTCGATCTGGTGAACCTTCTACATCGTGGTTTCTACAGTGTCAATTTTATGTTTTCACTTCCGAGTTATTTAACACGCTGTAATTTTCTTGCTGCGAATTGTCAGCTTCTGTTCTAAATTCTCCCGCGTTTTTTTTTTTTTTTTTTGTGATGAACAATTTAGTGTAATTTACCCCGACCCAAGACTATCTCAGCTTCAAGAATATTTCATTTTACCGCTATTCCTACATAGAAAAATAGTGCGTTGTGATCTTTTGTCACTTAAAGCTATTCCCTTTGTATAAGGCAGTTACCACTTGGCACACTAGCGCATTCTATCATGTAGACCAGGAACGCTTCCAGACGGCGTATAACTGGATAGCAACACCAACACAGAAAAACCAGAACATTACGATATTCTTGCGTTGGACCCACAGATACACAGAAATCAAGGGAAACGAGATTGCTATCAAAGTTGCCAAAAAGTATAGTCGTCCCATCCTTTCCAAGAACGTAAACAAATTTTAAAAAATTAAAAAAAAAATATTATACAAACTTTGCCGAGAGAAACAATTTGAATTGTGAAAACGACTCAACCGCCATCATAAATGTAAAGGTTTCTAATTACTCATACAAGAGGAATGAAGACTTATTCCCTCCTCTGTTTCATCTTTTCTATCTATCTTCGTCATCTTTCTTCTTGTCTTTCTCTTGGAACTAATCATTCGCCGTGGCTTTTGTCCTCAACCATCCTGAGATGATAGGGAACGATGTTTCGAATAGAAGCCATTTCGGTAATGTTGTTTGGTCCCATGTAGTAAAACGCCTGGAGGATTCCTTGTTGCTTGCATATCTTAATTACCACATAAAAGGCGGTCTTGAACTCTGCAAGCCTTTTCGCACTAAAGTCATGCCCCCGGGTTGTATCTTTGTAACGACACTCTGGTGTCGTGTGTCGTAATTCCACTTCACTGTTGATCATTTTTTTTCTGCAATGGGAGTGGTTTTTGTTCCTTCAGTTGTATGTTTAAAGTTCAAAATGTTGTTCGTACTCGGGCTATACCAAGACCGAATCAGAAGAGATTACCTTGACCAAGTACTGATACACACCCTCTCGCACTCATGGCACCATACAAATGGCGTATCTTCCTTAATTAGTGCGGTTAGGCACATTGTGTTTGTGGTGTAATCATCTACAAATCCCCAGAAATCTCCAGCAAGCCTGAGAAAAACACGAAAATGTACATCGTAAAACTTCGAGGGGGGGGGGGGGGGGGGGGGGCGAGGGGGGTTCAGCTTTGAGATTCTTTGCACTGATTCCTCTTTGGTGCTTTTTGTTTTTTTTCCGTTGAAAACTCGTCCGAGGAGCACCACTATTTTTTCGAAGGATGCGCTTTTTTTTATGTTGATCTTCAACCTGGCAGCGCTGAGTGCTTCGAGAACTCGAGACAGGTGGTCGTGCTGCTCTCTTGTCCAGGAATAGACGATAATATCATCAACATAGACATCGAAGAAATGTCCCAAAAAGTATTTAAGTACTTCATTCGTCATCTTTTGAAACCACGCTCCAGAGCTCTTCCAGCCGAATGGTAGCCGGTTATATTCGTATAGACATCAAATGGCGTCACAAAAGCTGTGTAGCGCTTGGTGTCTTCTTGTAGGGGAACCTGGCAATAACCTTTGAAGTGGTCGGTCCTGGAAAACCACGAGCATTCGCGACTCCAGCGACCTATAAAGGGCGCCACCACCAAACAAACATGGCAACTGAGTCCAGGTCGCGTCGGCTCGGCCGGGCCGCCTGAAGAGGTGGCGCGTTCAATTGAACACATTTTCTTTTGTTTATTGCCCAATTTTATAGGTATTTGAACTGAGACGGTTAAGTGTAGCCGGTGCACATAAACTTGCAAAGCATAGTTTTGTTTTCCCGGTGTTTTTTGTTCTTTTCGTGTCTAACTTTCGTTTCGGAGATTTCGTTCAAAACCGAAACTATGGGCTCCGGAGAGACGGTAACAGACTAATCAGTTTTTACCATCAAAGGAAAGCGGCGATGACTACAGAATTGTTCCACCGAGAGTAATTTTCAGCTAACTCGCATGCCTCGACCATGCGACTTATCTGTCCGCGAAATGGAGCTTCTGTGCGTATCCGCGTTTAAGAAACAGCTCCAGACGCCTGCTCGGTCAACAACACTTGGCTTCAGGAAAATTGCGAAAATTAAGCAATCACTTCTTGAGCCAAGAAGCATGTTAACCCGCTGGCGCCCCACTAAGCAGCTGACACTCGTATTTCAATTCAGGTTTTAGTAGCAATCGAGAAGTCATTTTGACTAGCGGGTTATGTATTATATTACGTACTATGGTCCCACTAAAGCGATATTAGTATATTCTTCGGGTTGAACTATGAGCTTAGTTGACTAGTTAGTAGGTGAACTGCTGAATAAAAGTATATTTGACAGTCAGAGAGATACTACTTAAACTTAGCCAAATGGTTCTAGCCGGCAGCGCGGACACAAACTGAAGAGAGTCTCCATCTTAGATTCACGCAGAACATCTCTGCATTGAACTTTGCTTCGAATCCTGAACGGAGAAAATGAGTATTTTTTGTGGCCGGTCAGCCTGAGCAATGTAGTCGTATATTGCTGCTGGCTTCGACGGGGGTATAATATAAATATTGGAGGCGCGATAGACTAAAATGCCGTGACAGCTTCTAACGTTGCGAGACTCGTCCCCCATCTTTTGAAAACATATAATTTCCCTCATTCATCATTTGCAGCGAGCAAATTTCCCTAAATCAAGTAATTGCGAAATCAGCCCAACTTCTTCGGTGTGGTCCAGAGGCTTTTTCGGCGAAAAGCAACCAAGATGAATAGCCAACGCACCGACCGGCGTGGGTGGCTCAAACTTGAAGCTAACCGAACACAACCAAACTCAAGAAAAGCAGCTATCGAACCTTCCCTTTCACTTCACTGCAACATCGGGGTTCCCTCCAGTGAAATGCATTATCTGTCGTCCTCAGCCCACTTTTCTACATCCTTACAAAGAAACCACTTATCAGTTACAAAACAGTCGTCACTTTGAATGTGATTAGAGACAGAAAAGAAATCAAAACGTTTTTCTGTGATTCCTCCCCATCCAAGAAATCGAAAGCACGCGACCGTGAGTTGTGGAGTAAACGGGCTTTCAGACACGTGATGGAAGGAAACAATCTACTGAGGCTTCACCACAGTAATGAACACTCAGGCAAACTTAAGAAATTTTCGGACCTTCGTGAAATTACACTGTTCGCCACCGTGCCGACAACACGTGTCCGCGAAAGCTACGAGAGACGCGGAGGGGCGCGGAGCGACCTGGTCCGGCTGGTTCCCAGTTTTCCCGCTTGGTGGCGTCCGTTTTGCTGGAGTCGCGCAGCTTTTTTGATGATGTCATCTATGTGAGGTGTTGGGAACGGGAAGCGTTCTGTCTGGGAATTAATTTGGCGGTACGAAGGTGATTGGGGATGCGAATTTTGATGTCGCTGGCCTGATGATCTCGGCATCTAGCGTTTCTTGTAACTCATGTTTGAGCGACAATTTGTTTTCATAAGACACACTGTAAGGTTTCTTTCGCATTGCCTAAGTGTGCCGAAGTGTGAAAGAAACCTTAATAATCGAGGTTGGAGGTGGATATGTTTCCACACATATTAGATCCGCGGGTACGAGGTAGGCACTTCCTCGGGACTCTTCACGATTCGGAGTATTTGAACTGTTGTCGGCAAGGTGGGCGTCCGCCCCCTGGTCTAGTGCTATTTTGTCCGTCCATAAGACGGTCATTCGGAAGCGCCTTAGATCGGGTCGAGATAAAATGAAGACAAAGTCGACATCTTCTACGAGTAGCAACTCCACTGTAAGTTTCTGTCCATGAAATTCAACTTTCAATGTCACCCAGTTTCTCATGAGCTTAACAGTGCCGTCCTAACTGTGAACTTCGATAGGGGTTCCAATTCGCATGTTTCCTGCGTCAGCGATATTTATATTGGCAAGACTGACGGATGCCCCGGAGTCAACTAGGGCATTAGCATGTTTACCACTGACGAAAACGGGAGCTTAGAGAATGCCGTATTTCACCAGGTAGACAGTAGCCTTCTTCGATTTTGGGTAGGACTGTACACCCTTATTTACTCTTTTCTTTATTGTTCATCAGCGGCACGGCATACAATGTAGTTAAGTGAATTGGGTTTTGAATTATTCATCTTGGGCTTGCTACCTGCCTGACTTTCTAGGCACCCCTGTCGCAATGAGGTTTAAAGGCCGAACTTCTGGGGTTATTCACTGGCCGTGGTTGTTTGAAAGAAGTAGGGTAGTCTGTGCTCGCTCCCTTCAGCGAATGTAGAAGGTCCTGGGTGGTCTCTGGGTTTTGTGATTGCACTCGTCGCAGTACATCTTTGTTCATGTCATGGATGACCAGAAGGATGATCGATGTTTCTGGTAAGTCGGGGTCAGCGAGCGGCAGGAGCCTACGCTTCTCATAGAAGCAATCCAGCAAGCTGCGTCCTCGATGCTTGTGGAAGATTGCCTTATCCAATCGTTCAACCGGACATTTTTTTCAATGAAATCTTGAAGCTCTCCTTCTAAAGATTCTACGAATTGTCAGTGTGCTCGCAGACACGAACTTCATACCTCTTTTTCGCGTTCCCTCCGAGTAAGAGTTCCAGATATAGTATTTGGTCGGTATATTCTATCCAACGATTTTTTTCGCAGGCTTACTCTTACAAGACAAGCCACGTAGCCGCACATGAAGATTCGCCGTCGAATAATCCGGTTTCACTTTTCTTACCGTTTATGTGTGTGCACTCTAATAGCTTCGGTCATAGCGGTCATAAACTGTCTGTTTTTCGAGTTGAGACACTTGCATTTGTAGCAGTTGAGAAACTGCGACTGTCTGGTAGAAATGCAAAACTATCGATAGTACTATCGATAGTCGCCAGAAATCTGACTACCGATAGTAAAAAAAAATATCGATAGTACTATCGATAGTCGACTATCGAAAAACTATCGATAGTACTATGCATAGTCGACTATCGAAAAGCTATGGATAGTGCTATCCATAGTCGACTATCGGAAAAGTATCGTTAATTGACTATCGGGACACTATCGATAGTCGACTGTCGTAAACCTATCCATAGTACTGTCGACGATTTACTATCGATAGTTTTGCGGCACTAGCAGTTTGCGTCACTCCCTCTTCTTTTTCACGCTTATTTATTTTTTTTTCAAATGGGACATTAACTAGCCCAATTACTTACCTTCCCAACTTTGGTGTAGCCTTCAGTGATGACGAAGACGGGAGTTTGGGCGAACAGAGGAGAAAGGGAGGCGAGCTTCGGTGCAGCAACTGTTTGCTCTAGTGGTGCAAAACTATCGATAGTACTACCGATAGTATCAATAGTCGCCAGAAATCTGACTATCGATAATAAAAAAAAGCTATCGAAAAACTATCGATAGTACTATCAAAGTCGACTATCGAAAAACTATAGAAAAACTACCGATACTCTTGGAAAAAACTATCGATAGTATAGATAGTCAATTTATCGATAGTTTTGCATCACTACTGTCAGGTCCAGGCTATCCGAAGCTACTTTACGGGATGTAGTGGACGGCTTCTGGAAACACTCGTGGGAATTCTGCATCCAGACGTTTAATTTTACTGTTCGTTTTTGAATCAGCCAGAGGATTTAGGTGAGCTGGTTCCTCACCGTCCAGCTGGTAGCCCTCTATGATAACTTTTCCTTCCCCATGAGACGAACATATTTGAATCCACATCTTTCAAAGGATCATGTCGACTGCGCCGAGTGTAAAGGTTTCTAATTACTCATACGATAGGAATGCAGATTTATTCTCTCCTCTGTTGCATATTTTTCTATTTATCTTCCTCATCCTCCTTTTTGTCTTTCTCTGGGAAGTGTACAATAAACAAGACAAAAAAGACTATATAGAAGCAAATATAAAACCGAAATCCCGAAAAACAAGAACTCCATTCTTCCTGGACTCAGGAGATATCAAACAATTATGCTGAGAAGGGTAAGAACTGGCAGCGCGACCAACCTCACTCTTCCCCAATAAATGGGAGACACAAAAATTTTTGCCGAAGATCCAGAATTTACGCGAGAACCAGCAGAATGTATCTTCAGCAGAGAAAAGACGCCAAAGCAAATTGACCTCCACCTACGGGATTGTAAACACTTCAGAAACGAAATTGATGAAACACTTGCAACTCTAGCGCCACAACACAATCCGAAAGATACGCGAGCATGGGTATCTTTCGGAATCGCCTACAGGCGATTCCGAAAGAAGACTCCAATGCTGAGATTCGTAGTCTCCTATCTGCATAAAGCGTGCCTCTGTAAAGCATAATTTTGACTTTCTTATCAAGCCATTCCTATCAACACCAAAACAGTATAACTTTTCACGACTAAAAATTTAACTGCAATTGTTTCTGGAAACCTGAAATCAAGATTGCAGGCAAAGGAATAATTTTTGAAACCTGAAATTCATATAAACTCCAGACAAATTTCCAGTTCCATAAAAAAAATTATAATATTAATATTTCATTGCGTGTTAAAATAAGCATACAAAAACCAGGCCCGCCAAAGCCACATTGGGCTTGCCTGGCAGTGCCTGCCAATCAGCAGAAGGGAACACACATAAACAGGATTCGTGAATAAGGATCCCTTGTGAAAAACCTATTTATAGAAGAACGCTTTGTAATTATAATGTACTTTCTCAAACCCGTTTCATCTTGTATTTGGAACTAGAATTCAGAGCACTGGTCGTAAGTTTGTTGAAGAATGCTGAGTTATAGTATTTGCGAATTCATTTTCTATATCTCCTGGAACATCGAGGCGTCCAAAAGCGATCTTTAGGCCTTGGATCACGTGCAGGGACGGGTCCTAAAAGGGCTAGTTTGAAGCTGCCTTTGTACAACCATTTCAGACTACAGTGAATTAAAATCGAGCATATGTAATGTCCTAAACACATCTCTGTCCTTTCCCAGGAATAAATTGTAAAACACATTTTTCCACAGAAAGCGCAAAATTTAATTAATTCTCGTTTGCCAACGTAGAGCACAATGCCATATCGCCATATCGATATGACATATCGATATGCCATATCGAAGTATGATGTGACCCAAAGCATGTACAACAATTTTCAGACACGATAACGGCATATAATATCACGGATTATATATCAAACAACATAGTGCGCGACTTGCAGACGTGGGCGAGATGGCAGTTCCGGGCATGATCACTGTTTAACAACAAGCCGCGATACTTCACTGTGGATGTATATTTTACCGGTTCACGAGAACACAATAAACAATCAGGCGTATATAACAATAAAGGATAGGTGGGTATAACCTTCTTAAAGGCTTATGAAAACAAATATTTTGCAACTTAGACCAACTAACAAGAAAAAAAAGTCGCTGCAAACCAGTCCATAGTTTTAATCACCGCATCTTGCAAAGAAGATATCGCACCTGCGTAACTGGTTGCGGTAGATAAAATAACAGTGTCTTCAGCGTATTGAAGTAACGAAACCTGCACAGCACTGTAAAGATCATTGATAAAAATATTAAATAGGTTTGGATTCAGAACAGAGACTTGGGGAACACCGACTTTGAGTATTCGAAAGGTGTTCTGGAACTGTCCAATCCAAAAGAATTGACGTGTTTCCTGTAGGAGGTTTGCGAGTAGTGTTAGAAAAGAACCACGAATTCCCAACCTCAAAAGTTTTGTTATCAACAGTCTGTGGCATGCACTGTCAAATACCATACTTACGTCCAAAAAGAGCGCGAAAGCAACTTGATTTCGCTCAAGGACGAATTCAGGATATCAAAAAAATCCTCAAAAAGCGTTCGCGTACCTCGATCTTGGATGAAACCCTACTGATAAGGTGACAAAACGCTGTGGCAATAATCCAGATAAAGAAAAGTTATACTGGCTTTATCGGTAAAGATACCATAGTGCAACCGTATTTTCACCAATAAACCTATTTTCATTCTGTCGCTCAACTAGATTATTTTAGAATATTTTCGAGATCATATCAGCTCACCACCTACGAGCAATAGTCGCATAAAACAGTTTCAACATTATCTCAAGCCCACAATAAAAATATTGAACGCAAAAAAGTATAGAAATATATACGCAGGTCTAAAGTGTTTTATACCTACCCGATAGATGACGCCAGGTTGACAGTGTATTAAGCGGTTACATGAGATTAACGCGTTCAGTCACAGACAAAGGCACATGTGTAAACCAGCGTTTATTTCAAGCGGACACTTGGGAATGCTCTTTCCAGGAGACTACAATCTGGGATGCAACTTTGACTCTTCGTTTTGTGACTGGAAGCTGATTGTGCCTAAAGAAAGTGCATTCGATACACCTGTGTGGACAAGGATTCGTCCGGGCCGGACCTTGGCCTACTCCCCCACCAGGGACCACACCACTGGACTCCAAGAAGGTGACTCGCTCTTTGTGCCGCTTGACCCACGAAAACGCATCTTAAAGAGATGGTGAACCGAAATTTGGATTTCACAAAAACAATGCTGGAGATGTAGGCGGGACGCTACAATCCCTACAACACTGCTAGTAAGGCGATACATCAAATGGACGGCCATATTTTTGGAAAAAGAAGTCGAGATGGAACCAGGCCGACGAGGCGTGTGACGTCAAGAAACCTAGATTCCTCCTCTCTTCGCTTCGCTCCCTCAAGGCCGCGAGGCGGATAAGACGCGAGGCCGTTCCCTCTACTTTTCGGAGAAACATGACGTCGACATTCCTGCCAAATGCGCCTCTTTTTTGAAAAAAAGACAGTCATCCGTTTGAGATATCGCTGTATGAGTGATGTTTTGGTGTTTGTAGCACCCCGTTGCACGCTTTTGCCGCGTGTTTTGGTGAATCCAGATTTCGGTTCAGCATCCCTTTAAAGCATGAAAGACTTTTAAAGCTATTGGGAAAAATATCAAACTATAGGGGGCGCTTTATTGAGCTTGTAGTTACAGCCCAGTGTTACTAACACAGCATAAACAGAGAAATGTAACCTCAACTAGCACGGTGTAGACACGAGCGCTTTTCTCTGACCAGTGCTTTAGTCGAATCGTCGTCTTCGATTTCTTGGATCAAAAACAAACAAAGTACGGTTTGTTGTCTCAACAGCTGAAGCGTACTGCTGGAGGCGTGTATGTTCTTCCTCACTCATTTTGGTCTAGCAAAATGACGTCAAAATGTCACGTATTATCCGATTTCCCCGCTAAATTTGGTGGGAAAATTGACGTCAGTTTCAAGTCGCAATGTCAAGTGGCCCGATGTCAGATGACGTGGTCATGTCACATCACGGCAAGCTGTCACGTAATCTAGCATCGCATATGCTGCCAATTTACGTGATCTAACAACACATGCTGTCAGGTCACGTGACAACACGTAACGTCCGGTCCTGTGACATCAATTGCCCCACTTAATTTAGTGGGGAAATCATCATGGCGTATGGTACGTAACGTTATGGGGCCCGTTACATCACGGTGTCACGTGACCCCACGATGTCACGTCACGTGACGTCCGGAGGCATGACATCATGACTTGACGCCAAACGGCACCTGACGTTTATTGTCTTCTACACAAATTTAACGAATTGCTGCTACATTCAAAGCATTATTGAATTTGATTGATAAAGGTCACTGCCAATTATTTTTTTCGTTCAAAATTGTCTGTTACCTGTTTATCGCGTGTTGAATACTTGTGTGAAGAGGTTCTCCTGCTGAGAGGATGTGAGAGTTTTATATGAGAAAAGTCAACCCAACAACACAGGATGCGTTGGCAGATAGGAATGAGTTAGGGTTTTGTTAAAAAGCGGAATTTCTATTTATTGGATTGTGTTATAATACAGTGAATTGTCCATTTTATTCTCGTTCTTGCTGCGTCCTCGTCGGAAAGTTGGGCTGTTGTCGCATGAAATATTGGGACAATCATTATCTCCATTATACTCCATCTCCATTATATTTTCAATAATAATGTTGCGCTTTGGTGCCCCGGCTCACTCGAGTTACTACTGTCCTCGCGATTGCCCTTAATATTGAATAAATATGCATAATCCTTGAAATCGGTGCACATATCAATATGGTATTAATATGAACTTCAGAACTTGATGTAAAATATACAAATGTACTTAAAGAACAAAAACATTATGCACTCATTGCAGTTAATTGTTTATGGGTGTTTCCACGTCAGATCGTACAGTGATGGTACTGGTCGTATTTTCTTTTTTTTAATATTTACGTAAAGAATATATTTAAAAGCCATATACCTGGAAAGAACATTCAGCTATATTGCAACGCTCTACCTAACTCCGTTCCGAAGATATGAAATTTCAATGCTTCATTCGTAAATATTGCCAATGTTTCACTATGGTATTTTGCACAACTGTCAATTTTACACCAATGCATGCACGCAGTAATAACGTTTTATACTCACTTTATGAAAGATATTTAACATGTATACGAAATATTAAAAGTTACAATAACAACTTTTTTATGCAAGAAAGCTACGAAACACGTCAAGCGAAGGTGTTTCAGAGATACATTCACTATTTACCAACAAGCTATTTCAAATTAAATACCACCAAATATATCGAAATGAGCACCTTTAAATGTATCTTACGAATGTATAAAAAGATATGCTTTGTCATTATTTTAGTTCCGTTGTTAACCCGAAAACAGAGCTGATTTATCTAACTGCGGCAAAATTGCACCTTTTATTTATTTTAAGCTATCCCTAATCGTCTGCAGTATCTTAAGCTAACTTGTAATTGCAAAACATTGAGTATGATATGTTCTCCGAAAGAGAAACTATCAACAAGCCTTCACTCAAATTTAACTAGCTTGGCTTCGTTGTAGGAGAATTGCCGCGCGACGTCGGCTCCAAGGAGACAATTTCTCGAACTGAGGAAAGCTGTACAGCGATGCCGCTGTATCGTAGGCTGTAGAGAGTCCTGCTGTCTCTAGCTTTTGCTCACGAAGGACTTTCGGCAGACGCCACAGCTGCCGACAGTTGAGAACTGTTTGGACAGCCCATTACAGTGAAACGCAAAGCCCGCACGCAAAAAGGCCTGTCGCCACGAAAGCGAGGCTAGGAAGTACGTATGTATCTGGAAAGCCGGTATCTTGGTGTTCAACATTTTGTGACGGCAAACAATCGATCGCACCATGTTTAAGTATCAATGCGTACGTTTCAATAGAATGCAGTTTAAAATTGATAACTAGAAAGGTTTTGTTGTCTATTTTCATGTCAGTCTATACACTGATAATCCAAGTCATATTTTTAATATTTCTTTAAAGTATGTACCATATTAAAGCCATGTTTCAGGGAGAAGCACTCAGCTATATTATACCTACACGTATACAGGGTGTTCCACAAAAGCGGGCCAAATCTTTTATGTGAAAAATACGCACGCGCACGTTTCACATGACTTTTCTGTGCGATATGCTTTGCACAAAGAAAAATGTTCATGCAGTTTCGGTTCCTTCCAAACAGGCACGTAGCCAGAGAGGGGGGGAGGGGGGGGGGGGCCTGGAGCCCGGGCCCCGCCACCCCTCACCCCCCCCCCCTCTCTGGCTTTTTTTTTAAGGGGGGGGGGGGCCAAAACAAAAAAAAAATCTTCTATTTTGCTGGGATCTCTTCTACCCCCTCCCCCTCATACAGCATTTTGTCATGGGCGGGCCCCTTCCCCCGAAACAAAATCCTGGCTACGTGCCTGCTTCCAAATGACTAAATTAGTACAAGAGAAAAAGTGTTTGATATGACTATGTTAATCATTACTTATAATACTTAACTTTGTAATTATTAAATTGTAAGGTAACATTTCCACGAAACACATGGTGGGCATTATCGAAGACTATTAAATCCACCCACGTTATAAAGATTTATGGCGTGCGCAGCATTTTACAGCGCTCTGAAAAACACTGGCTTTGGACGTGTTTTAAAAAGCAAGGGGCCGGTGGGGGGGGGGGGGGGGGGGGGGTAAGGGTGTTTTTAGGCTACGCAAGGGAATATAATTATAAAGCTAAGCTAGGGACCGCATGGAGCCTGCACCCTACGGTAGAGCAGCACAGCATTTGTCGGTTCAAGAGAATGTCTTTTTGGAGCCGGCGTCGTGCGGCGAAGCCCCATAACGAAAAAAGAAAAAAAAACCAGCTCAGTTTCAGTAAAGGTTTCTTGTCGCTTTTCTCTTTTTGGGGAATATTTTACTGAATATTTTCATTTACAAGTTCTTTCAAGGCGCCGCAAACAATTAATGATGTTTAAAAAAAATAAATTATTAAATCATTTAGATATTGATGTGCAATCTTTCCGAATAAAAAACAAATTAGCTGCGTTTTTCAAAATTATAATCTAACTAAAATAATGGCTAATCATATCTTATTTATATATTCGTAAAAAGCATTTATATATACTCATTGTTATATATTTTGTGCTATTTTGTATAACATTGTTTGTTCGTAAATAATCTGTGAATGTGTCTCGAAAACGTATTTACTTGACGTGATTCGTAGCGTTTCTTTCTTTCTGCATAGAAATCTTTTGTTGTAGTTTTTAATATTACGTGTACATCTCGTGATCCTTTAGTAAAATAAGTAAAAAAAATATTTCTACGTGCACGCTTCGGTGTGACACTGACGGCTGAGCAAATTACCATAGTAAGACCTGGGGAACCTCCTCGCCTCGAGCTTCGAAATTTTATTTTCCAAAATAAAGTGAGCTACAACTTTCGAATACAGTTGAATGGTCCTCCCAAAAACAAGGCTTTCATAAATAGTTTTTACATAAATATAAAACAAGTATTCCCCGGATTATTATTATAAGGTATGACCTGAAAATACCACTATTTGATAAACTTTTACTTAATTTGGGGTAGAACTACTTAAGTTTGCATTAGCTAACTTCTTGCAATGGAGAAAATGCCGAGATGTCTGTGATATATGTTGAATTTAAGGAGATCGCGTTAGCTGTACAATGCTTCTCTAATCTTTAGCAATCTGCTCCGTGGTAAAGCTTACGATTTATAAATTTGCATTAAAACACGCATTTTAGTAGATGCCAGATTAAATGCCCTCCTTTTCCTTTTTTTTTTTTTTCGTTGTCAGGCCGGTTCTTGATTTTCCGTTCTAGTGAAACTGCAGTGCAATCTGAAATCGCCGGGCCTATTCTACAAGCCAACGATACCTGCGCGGTGAGTAAACAAAGACAACACAATGTTTTGCTTTGGTACACACTAAGTGATGTTCCGCCCCTAAGGTTTTTATAAAGCTTTTCCAGAGATTTACATCTACGACAACTAATTTCAGCACCCTTTTTTTTACCTGAAACACAATCTAAAACAACTTAAAATAGTGTGCTTTCTTAGGCAACACCCTTCATTTCTTGAAGGGTATAAAACGGTTGGGGAATATTGTGCTACAAAGAAATGAGGCGACCATCCTTCTTCAATACTGTTCCCCGCACTAACACCCGCTTCATTAGAGGTTGTTTTATTGACGGTCTCTAATATTTATTGCCTGCACCAATGTTTTTTTTTTTTTTTTGTTTACTTGGAGTTGTATTCATTGAACGTAGCTATGCTATGCATTGCGTGAAATTTTGATAAGAAGAAAGCAGTTCACGTGTAAATGACGTAATTGAGGAGGTGGTCACTTCCAGATGAGTAGCTTTGAATGTGGTGGAGCACTGAACCTGTTATTGATTCCTCTTTTGTGCATGATTTATTGTGTGTGTGGTTGCTTTTGTTCGTGTGAAATCTGGCATGTGGTGCTTCTTGCCCGTTAAATTTTTTGTAAACCTGTTGCTTCCAAATTTTTTGCCAAAAACATATATCACCACTAAGCTGCTAACATCGCCTGTCCTTTTTCTAAACGTTCCTACATCGTCCTATAGATCTTGCTGCAACACCCTTGAGTTGTTAGTCCTAGAATACGCTGATTCACACCCTTAAAGTTTTAGTGTGTGTCGCAAGTCAGCCAAGTCCTCGTGAAGAGCAGTAGATGATTTGGCGTCAAAACACGCGGCGTTGAAGCAAAGTTATCAGCAAGGAGTAAAACAATTGACAGCGTCATATGGACAACTTTTGCATTCAATAGAACCAAAACGCGTAGCACCATTAAAGCAAAATGTGCAGAGATGACTATGGCACGTATTTTAAGGAAAGCAAAGCGTAAATACACGTTCCGTCATAACACAAGTTTGACCAGTAATGTTTGTAAAACTAGGTTGGTCTCTCCACGCTGCGTATGAGACGAGTTGATTGGAACATAAGCAGTGTCAACTTTGGCGCCTTTAAAGAGGAAAATGAACGAGATATTTGTAATACAAGAAAACCTTTTTTTTTTTTTTGGCCCTTCGTAAATAAACTATGCATCGCAGAAAATTAAAACTCCATGCGAATGTACGACTGGGGTGATGGAATGCGGATAACTGCGTCAAATGATAAAAGAGAAAAACAAAATTTCATTACGTGTCGATGCTTCCCTTACCCTAATATTGTCAAAACAAATATTGATATTGTGGGCACATGTAGTACTATATGAGTGAAAAATAATTTCAGCAAGAAAGACTTCGTGTTCTCTCTTGCTGACACGTCTTTAGTTACAGTTACATATGTCACATGCGTCCACAATGTCAGTTTGCGTTTCGACGATATAAAAATTAGGTGGTCATCGGCTAATAAAAAATGTTTGTCTTTCTTTTTACCGTTTTGTTCAGGTAACGTCATGTGTTCAAAGATTAGAGTTCTATCTTGTAGCACTACCAGCTTCACATACTCACTGAGTTTCATCTTTCGGCGATCCGCAGTTTGTTTAAACGGGAAACAAAACCACGATTTCTTTCCTCATAAACACCCAGTATTTTAGCGTGCTCGAGGAAACAATATTTCCATCTTTAGGCAGAATAGGAATGGCGCTCAAAAATTTAGCTCTTTTATGGTATAATAACAAGTCCATTATCAATCGACGATTAGGATCTAAATATTCGAATGCCCTAAGGGCATAATCAGTCCGCCGTGGCAATTTTATGTCACTGGATCTCACGTTCAATTATTTATTATATTGAGCAGCCTAATCTTAAGAATAAAAATTGCCTGGCGCATCAATATGTTGGCTTCTGGTTGCTGATTGTGTCAAAAGTCGCAAAAGAATAAGATACGGGTTTGTTTTAAAGTAACAAAACTTGTTTCGTCGACTTCGGTGATATTACTTTAATCGCCCTTTTTGGGCTTTTTTTTTTTTTCGCTTAACAGATCACGTTCTTCTACACAATCTACAACGGTGCTTCATCGAGGTTAATCCTCGGCGTGAGACACACGATCGGCGGGCCGCTTACGGAGATCTGGAGCACAGGGAAACTTGACACCTCCTTCGACTTCCTCGGACATTTTGAGTACCTCCGTGAGGAACGTCCGTTCCAGGTATGGAAACGGGGGGCAATCGGTGGCCGATTCTGTTCGCGCACTTCGGAGCACGGTGCGCGTGGAGCTTAAGCTCGCGCTGCAGTTCCCAAGGATCCTGGGATCAATTCCCACCCCTGCCCGTTTCGATATGGAGGAGTATCGTACCGGCGTGTGTTCGTGCAACCGCTACTGCACGAGGCACGCTAAAGAGCGCACACCAGCGGTGGCGCTGCACTGGCTAAATATCTCATCTACAGAGGACACAAACGCGCACAAGGGGCTGACTAATTTTCTGTTGTCTAAACTAACACAAAATGCAATAACAATTTTATTAAAACCGCACTATTTTGTTCTGTTCTTTTGACAACTTCAAGTGGCACAATATGTAACTTGGACTTAAAGCATATGAACGGAAATTAGACATTAGATAAAACGTTTTCTGGCTCTATATTTTTCGAATTTGGGTGTAACGAGCAGCTTTTGTTTTATTCGAGTTAAGCGGGAGTAAATTTAAGTTTAATAGAGTGTCGTTTAAAGTTATGGTTAAAAGATTTCAAAAGTCTAACAATTTTATCTGAAGATATTTTCTTTAAATAGCGACCTTAACAATAATTTCGGAGCTCATTTTCTCTTACGAAGTCATACGTTTTCCTAACCCAAATCTAGGGAGTGCTCTTGTGTGAACTCAATTCTTTCAGCTTCTTTTAGTTGGCTATTTATCTCAGGCAATAAATCATGTTTAGCACTGTCACTTCAAACCTTAATGTTACAGAGCGTTGTTGTTTTTATCTTTGCTCTCGTAGCTTTTACAGCAACAATGAAATGTTAGGCATTTTTCTTGATTCCTTACCTATTGCAAATAAAAAGTCATATGAACTCTGACCCATCTTACAATACCATATGAAAGAGCCAAACGACGCATTACATATATTTTGCTGAATTAACATATTTGTAAGTTTTATCCGTGGTCGTGGTTATCTACTATACTCGCCTTATTAAAGGGCACACAAACGCTATTGTTTTATTCTACCTGTTTTACAACTTAGCCAGTTAGCGACATTTTAATTAAATAGATGTAGCTCGCAGCACTCGCAATATTATGTTTTATGTATAATTCGAATATAAGATAGGCTAAAAAGAGTTTCTCGAGCCACTAAAAAGTGTGAAGTCCGCACATTGTGTTGTATTTTTTATTGAAACAGTTAGGTGCACTTTGCGGAACATGCATCGGGGCCGTTTTCGATACAAAAATATGTGAAATGCTATCGAAGTTGTCACTCTACTCCTCATTTTGAATTTCTTTTTTTTTTATTTCCATTATCTGCTACAATCCCCAATATGTTGAAAAGATAAACAAAAATATTAGCTACCTAATTTTGAAATAATTGTTCGTATGCGGTTGTCTTAGGGTATTAGGCATATGGCAAGGTTCTTGTTTCCAATGGGGCTGTCAAGACGAACTTCGTTATAGTCAATCTGTCTTGCCACGACAGGTTAGTCTTCACTAAAATCCGTTAACTCTGGTGCTTCTAAAGCCTTCGCAAAAAAGAAACTGAAGGGCAAATTGCTGGAAAATCATGTTGCACGTGAAACGTGTTGTTTCAGTCCGATTCCTCTTGGGTTTGACGTCTACGCTTTCGGCGCTCTATATCGGCTAGTTTAGCAACTGGCTTAACGTGTGGCATGTAACTCGATAGCAATTCCTGAAATGAAGATGCCGGCGCTAACTCGGGTTTTAAACCCCTGGCGGTCTTCCAGGATTATTCTTAGCCGCAGATGTTTCTCCGACGGCATCCAACCACAGTATGGCGGGCGAGCGGTGGCGCGTGAATTATTGAGCGATCACCAGCCAAATCAGCGTCGAGTGAACGTGGCCTCGCACGTGACGTTATACATGAACCAGCCAATCGGCATTGAGCTAGGGGGTGTGTTACGTCATCACCTGGATCAGCTAATCAGCATCGAGTTAACGGTGGTTTCACTTCTAGGCTTTAACAATTTCTAGACCCCGTGATGAGACAAAGCACGTTTCACGTGAAAACAAATTGCTCGGGGCAGCATGACTGTTTGTCTAATGTCTTGATTGTGGCTAAAGGAGTAGCGATTATACAACTGTGAACCGGTGCAATATGCGGTCTCGTCCAGGCTGATAGAAGTTAGATATGAACTCAAGAAAGCACCCACATATGCTTTCCAACTGCTGAGTGTTCGGGGACTCGACCACCAAAACATTGTGGCATAAGGTAACTATTTTGCCACTTTTCCACGCGAGGACTTAAATGTGTAAAAAGACATTTCCTATAAAAATGTATTCACCGAGAGATTTTTTTAAACTTTTATTACATAAAAAAGTGCAAAAAATAAGGCATTAGCAGAAAGCACATGTCAGGGCATGTATCTTGCTTCTGTGGTTCTATTCCCTCCCGCTATTCCAACCACGTGACAAGGCGCTTTTTGTTTTCGAGTATTCGCGTATGTTTCTCTTCGCTTTAATTCAGACTCCGCTTTAAGGTTGAATTGATTATATTAGTCTCGTGTTTTCTTTTTTAATGACACGCAAAACAAGAAACAGGGGTGTGGCACATGTATGGTTCCTTCTTCGTGATTGGTTCTTCGATGTTCTTATCGGCTGATACCGCCACCTCATTGGCTGAGAAGTCTTAATTAGATGGTGCGTACTAGATGCGCCGTTTGTTTCTTGAACTGTCGCCGACTTTGGTACTAGCGCGATGATCCAGTGAGTATTTGCTTAAAGGACAACAAGTTGTGTTGGTCTCGCCCTTTTGTTAACGATCCTCGATCTGTTGACACGCGCTGTCTCTCCAGGTGTTCTTCAGAGGTGAACACCGTGCCACCGACAAAGCCTCTTACATCGCGATCGACGACGTTTCCTTTACAAGTGGATGCCGCCCATACCACGGTTAGTATATTCCTTTACTTAATTTTCTTTATATTGATGTGTTAATTCCGTAGACGTTTTGAGATAAATAACTGACTTTATAGTTAATATAACGGCATGTCGCACGTCCGCCCATCACCGCTGTTCGAGCGAGAGTGTCCTCCTCTCCCTCTGGGTTTGCGCTGCGTGCGCGCTTCCTCCGATCCTCGCACAAGTACCGCCACCTCATGTTTAAGTGGCGAACTGCGGATTATACATGTAGATGCAAATGGAAGGAACTAAGTGATCAAAATTAAAATGATTGATATTCTTTTTAAATGATGTCCTTCGGGTCTTCAAGTCCTTCGGGTAAATTGGTGGGTAAAATCCTTGCTTTAATAAAGTATTTTCAAAAATGGGCGCCATGTAGTAGCTGCTGTACCAATTATCCGAATTCTCCATTGTCCGGGCACAAATACTCTGAGCGGGCATTGGACACGAGAGCTACTCCAGCGTTCGGTGAGGACGTTCCCAATGCGGAGGGCAAGTTCGTCTGCTTCTTGCGCAGGGGGTAGTGGTGACGTCAGGACGCCGAGCCCTAATTGGCTGATCGCGACCCCCTATCTGAGCGTCGTCTGCTCCTTTGCAACGTCGTCTGCGTCTGTCCTACCTTTCCTGCGACTTTCGAAAGTGCAGAGGCCAGGTTCACACAACGATCTTACACCAAAAATATGCGTAAGAGAAAACTTCAGAACGAATTCGTATTCACGAAACGAAATTTTCGAAAGTTTTGCGCAGGTTACGACAAAATCCTACGACAGCTCCGAAGTTGTCTTACGAACTTCTACAGCGTCTCGGTCGCGACAACCAACGGACGTTTATTTTTTTACGTGCGCTTCTCACGCGTTCCGACTGCAAGCAGCAAGAAAAAAAGTAAAAAGTACTTGAAACACACCACGACGAACAAGAACGCTGGATCCACAAACCCGGGAAAAGCTCCAACGGCCACGATTCTACCGACAACGACCAAGCGAGCTCGGCAGACAGGCCTAACAGGCACTCCGACTTGGCGACCCTCTGCCCACGACCGGCTGGCGTGATGAATGGAATAAGCCCGCGCGACCCTTGTGAACCCTTCCCGTCTTATACTTTGATCGCTGGCCTCAGTTTTAGATTAAGAGGTCAATCTCTCTCCTCTTGTCATCTCCTTGTTTTCCGAGGCAACGGTGACTCTCGCCGGTAAAAAAGCGGTGAATCTCCGACAGACGCAGAAAAGATAAAGCAACCATCGCTTTGACTAGCAGACGTAAAGCAGACGACATTAACTGCGCCAACCCGTTGATGCCGTTAAAGAGTGAGGAGTCTCGCCGCACACGAAAGGAGGGAAAAAGTATTCGGGAGGGAACTTGCGGACACTAACAAGCTCAATCTCGGTTCTTAGCAAACAAACCTCGGCGCCTCGGGACACCTCGCCAGTGAGTCCTTTGACTTCCCTCCTTGATGCGCGTCTGCTAGTTAGACAGAAACAACGTACCGCTCGAGTTATTTTGTCTGCCCTCTCTGAAAGGCGAAGTCGAGCTCGCTCGACTTCCGAAAGTCGCAGGAAAGGCAAGAAGACGCAGGCCACGTTGCGAGCAGACGACGTTGCAAAGGAGCAGACGACGCTCAGATAGGGGGTCACGATCAGCCAATCAGGGCTCGGCGTTCTGACGTCACCACTACTTCCTTTCTCACGCGCAGAAGACGAAAATGAGCCCACTTGCAAGGCGTATAGAAAGAAATGGGCCGAAATCACTGCTGATGCTGCCATGCAGATTGTCGAAGAAACGCGTGAGCTTTTCGCGCTGCGGTTACATATAACAAAGCGGGGTGATTGCAGCCTCTCAGCACATGTCACGGCGTCGCTTACTACAACCAGCCAATCCTGTGCGGCCTCCGTTGTTACGCGTCCTATCGCCAAGCCTTTCGAAATATGCATCCCGCCGCTTTTGGTCGGCACTTGCAGGAGGTGTTTCCTAGACGGTTTTTACAGCCAGTGAGGCTGTGTCGTTATCCCGTGGCGACTTTGCGAATTTTATATACTTGTGCTCCAAACCAGTCCAAGATCAGCGCATGTACCAGGTCACCAACGCTCACGCATGAAAAACAGTCCGCTCCGTTTTGTACTGTGCAGCTTGCCACTTTCACAGTCTGCTCGTCGGCACTGTGCGTCACCTTTCTCTACGCTCAGCACCAGAGCGCAGACTGTCCTTTAGACCAAAACATATTCTCGGCCTTGATTTACCGATATCCCTCCGTGCAAAGAGCGCAACAACAAGGACCAGAGTAAGAAATACAGACGAACAACAGCGCTGTTGATTACCTCCATTTACTCTGTCCTTGTCATTGCGCTGTTTGTACTTTTAATAATGAACCCGCTAGGCCAATCGTCTACGTTATCCCTCCGTAGATTACGGCAGTCGGCTCTCTCAAGTGCTTTGTCGAAAAATAGACGTTTAAAAGTCCTTAGAGTGTACAGCTGCGATTCCAACCAAGTTTTTAAGATGTCATGCGTTCCCTTGTTTGTTGTGGCTGGTGCAGGTACCTTGCCCATTGCGCCCCCAACGCCCGCTCCCACGGACCCGCCCACCTGTCCTCAGGGACAGTTCGTATGCGTCACGTCTCGCCAATGCATTCCACAGAGCCAGGTGTGTGACTTCAAGCAGCACTGCTCTGACGGATCGGACGAAAGGGACTGCGGTGAGTCTAATCTGCCTTTTTTTATTTTTTGTTTGTTCCTTATTTCCTACTCGGCCAAGTGAATATTTGTGCCTTTAGTCATGGCCAACGCTCTTAGATGAACTCAGCTGTGGAACTTACGTATCGCAGTGGAAGGTACACCCTCTCCCCCTTAAGCTCACCACCCGTGATTTGCAGCTTATCTATACTCCGTCTCACTAAAACCGTGCAGTACATTCAAAGCCACAGGGTAGAGATCGTGTCCCAACCTTTCAAGAGGAGGGACAGAAAAAACAGGTGGAAAAGGCTGCGATTCCCAGCTTTTCTGTCCTGCTCATTCTTTTTCTCCTCTTGATCAGGTTGGCATACGCTCTCTCCCCTGCAGATTTGACCGTACTGCACGGTTCTAGTGAGATGGAATATAAAGGCTGACTTACAGAACTGTGCGATTCGGAAAAGCTACGGCGAAGCGGCAACTCGACGAGGTGCTTGAAAACCTGTGTAAGTGTAGCTGCCATAGCAGCCGTGCCCCCAAGAAACTGTAGCGCGTTGAACGACGAGAGGAACACCTTGGGGGGAGGGCGGGTGGATGCTGGTCTTGGAAGTGGCGTCTAATACCCTTGTTACACGGGCACACTTAACTGCAGTTACGCTAAACCGCAGTTAGCACACAATATTTGCCGGCAACATTCTGTGGCTATGCAGTCGAAGCTATGAGCGAACGTGCGCTTGAGCATCTTGATCATCCATCGAAGCAGTGCACGCGCGCTCTTCACTTCTTATGGAATAGCTGTCCGAGAGTGTAGTGCGGTATCTGTGGTGCCGCGTAACAGCAGTTCAGCTGAGTTAACCGCGGTTAAGTGTGCCCGTGTAAGAGGGGTATTAGGGCGATTCCGTAACTGAGTTGATCTATTAACCTTCACCAGGGTCTTCCCGCAGTTTTCGAGAAAGTTGGTGCGTAAAGATTTTACTCAGTATTTAGGAGAATAAACATTAAACTATGCAAATCTTTGGTGCGTAGAGTATGTGTGGGGTTTTAAACAAGCATGTGGATGAATTCAAAAGAAGTATGATCTCAATAAGAAGATGATTGTGCATGGTCGTTTAAGCAGGAACGGTAAAGTGATGACTAAAAACATATAAATATCAAAGGTTTAATCAGCTTCGATTTTAGACATAAAGCAAAGCTGGAAATAGTGCCGCTCCGGCATATGTACTTGTAATCATAATGAAGGTGTTTTGTTTTGAAAAACTGAACGAGACAACCCGCAATACAAAAAAAAGCGACGACCAAAGAAACTCAATAAAAAAAACTGCTTTGACTGGGGATTCAGTTACTTAAACCACATTTAACTATGCACCGTCTAATCCTACGGTGGACTGAAGCCCAATGCTACAGGACGCCGGGTCCAATGACAAGCCTGTTGGAAACCACTTGGTATACTTGCTCCGTCGTCAGTGCGCCAAGACGCGTCATGTCGAGGCGAGTTTTTCGTCTGCTTATCGAGCTATTGCGGCTGCTCCGATGTCAGCGTGCTACTGAAGACTTCTGAAGAAATTAAATACTGTATGGATGCGATGTGGCAAAGAGAGCCCGGGCTCAGAACCAGTGGCCATTAAGAAATGAAGAGTCGAATCGAGTGTTTGAAGCGGGTGTGTATGTGCGGACCTGTGGTATGGACCACGTGCGGAAGGGAAATGCGGGTCCGGGGTCCGGGTACGTACAGAGAGATTGAATTGGGTTGTTAGGGCTAAGGCGAAACGCCCTTATGTAATTGTTGGCTGCGCGCCCTCTAACGTCTCCTACCTGCTGAAATGTTTACGAAATGTGGTATGAATGTGTTTGAAAATGAATACCTTGTCCCTTCACTTCAGCAATAAAAACTAGCGTGCTATCACGACAGTGAACCATATGCGCAAGATTAGTGCTCTTCGTGCTCTGCGTATTAAAATTTATCTCGCACGCTCTTTCGCAATGCGGAGGCAAGCTTTACTGAAGTAGTGCTTTGCCCGCCAGCCTTCGGGCACTAGTTCAGCATAGGGTGAGGCGGAGTATTTTGCAAGTGGTCCTTTCTTCGTTATCAGAATGGGGATTGACCTTTCGGTTCTTGTGCCATTGCTAATAGAAAGTTTGATCACCACAGGAGCTTGTGACTTCTCTACCGATTTGTGTGGCTTGAGAACCGATAACCCTGATGCCAAGTACACGTGGAACCGAATATCGGCTAAGGATGTCAGCAAGAAGCCAGCGGGTAACTATGGGCTGCCGAAGACAGACTCTACGAACGATCCCGACGGATTCTACTGTGCCTTCAGGCACACAAATACAGGTAAATAAACAATTGATCTATCAATGGAGCTTAGTAACACGCCCAAATTAGAGCTTCGAAAATATTCACTAACCAAATAGGAAGAGAAATGTGTTTGGTTTATTCGGAGAAACTCTCTCTCCAATGTTTTCTTAGTTATTGAGATGCCATTTACAACCGATGTCTACATTCTGCTCTGCTAGTGTCACGCCTATATTCCCTACTTAACAAAATGTGGGCGAGGCTTAGTATGTTTACTCCCCTTTCTCCGTGGTTCGTTTTTCGGCGAATTTCTCCCAAAAAAATGCGAATAGCTATGGTTTCAGTCATTTTCAAGTCCGGAGATAGAAACATCTTGGGTAACTATAGGCCCGTTTTTGTGTTACCGGCCTTTTTAAAAGGCTGGAAAAAATAATACATCCGAGGTTGGATTAATTTTTTTACAAACATTCCATCATAGCACCAACTGCTTTTTTAGCACCTTGCCAGTTTGGTTTTAGGAGGAGACATTCGACAGAACTCGCGCTATTCATACTAAAACCACTAATCTTAAGCACCATCCAACAGAAGTTAATTACATTGGGCGTCTTTATTGACTTTTCAAAAGCTTTCGGCCGTCTAAACCATAAAACTTTAATTTCAAAACTATATGCGTACGGTGCCCGGGGTCTTACCTCGAATATGGTCGAGGGTTTTGTAAGATATCAACACCAATGCGTCGAAGTAGACAGGCAGCGCTCTGGCCTGAGAAAGATAACATCGGGCTGCCCAAGGGAAGCATTCTTAGACCCCTCCTTTTCAACGTGTACGTAAATGATATAGTTAATGTAGACGACCATGCAAATTTTTTTAATATACGCTGACGACATAAGTTTCATTTTTTCAAGTAGGATTGTGGATCAGGTTCTCTATACGGTGAAGAGCAGCTTAGACCAAAAAAATTCATGGACGGTTTCCAACTCTTTACTAATTAGTAAGGATAAAACAAAACAAAACAAACTCTTTTCGATCCAGGAATACAATGTGTTTGAACATTTCTGTGTTCTCCCTCGGAGGTTGCAGAGTTGATATTGTCCAAAGTGTGAAGGTGCTTGATGATATATTCAACGAATATATGTGCTGGGACGCGACAGTGCAACGTATAGCTAGAAAACTTTCGCAGATTGTAGGTATCATTTATAGATGTCGTCATGTATTACACCGTTCAGTCATAGCCCTTTTGTGCTACTCTTTATTTTACTCGTGCCACAATTACTCCCTTTTTTATAGGGAACCATACAGAAACAACTATTCGCTCCCTATATAATCTTGGGATGTGGGTTATTCGTAATATGTTTAGTGTTGAACGTTACGCTCACAAGCAACCATTATTCAAAACGCTAGAATATTACCAATTAGAGAACACTGCACTTATAAACCTTTTCTTACATAGCAAATGTATGTCAAACAAAACTAACATTTTTGTTTTTCCATCGCTGATATGAAACCGAGGGATATAGAAACCAAGCCGTTGCGTTGGCACTTGGTCAACGCCACGTTCAAGGGCAAATTATGGTTTCCAAGTGACGCGTTTTTCTCTTTGAAATATTTTAAACGGTATGAAAAGATGTGACATCGATGTTATGAGTACGTCCAGAAAAAAAAAACATCTTCGATTTCTGTTTCTCTAGTTCTAGCCTAGGTTCACTTTGCTTGAGATGGTCCTCGGTGCAAGTAATATTTTGTGTGCCTTGTGTCGGTCTTTTTATATCTTATGTTCGCCAGACAGCTGCCGTGGCGAGTGCTCTGTGTCGGAGTTTTTTCCTCATGTTAGCCAGTGCGCTTCCAATTTCTGTGTGAGTGCCCTTAGTCAAACGACAATAGCCTGTTTTTCCCCTCTATGCCGGAGGGAAACAATAAAGTTGAAAAGAACGCTGCGATCTAATTGGAAGCGGCACTATAATGAAATGCTCGCGACTCGCCGCGCTTTCCGCTACTTAGAGTCACTGATAGCTTCAGAAACGCAAGACATGGCGAGCGTCTCAGTATCGGCTCCGCTGCAGCGATTGAAATTGCGGCATTAGCAATGAGAACGCCGAAGAACGAATCACGAAGCGAGAAACATTAACATATTAGGCCACGCCCTCCGTTTTTTAAGCTGTCAGGTGCAATAGACCCTTTTTGGAATGTCGAAACGATGCATAGATTATGCGCTTCCTTGGCATTCGGACCGTACTCAGATCGAAACGCATTCCACACACGAGTGCTGCGCCAGTGCTCGGCGCGAACTCGAAATCAATCACAGGCTTCACGCCGGAAGCAATGAGACCAATTAATGGCTGCTGCGCATAATTTATCCATAATTTCGCAATTCCGGAAACGGTCTATAGCTGCCCGTGAACTGTCAGTGACTGCAGCACCCGTCTGCTATGCTGGTCACTGAAGCTACGCGTTAAAACAAGGGCTTCCAAGCTTTTTCTCCGATGATTTCTTTACATTAGCAATCACGTCTGAAACCTTTAGAAGGAAAGCTGTATTGCTTTAAAATAGACGTATTTGTCGGTTTGCAGATGCTCCAGAAGGAGGGCCGAATGCCTTGCTAACTCCACCATTGGGACTGGTGGCCCACCCTTGCACCGTCAGCTTTTATGCATTTCTTAAGCACGGTAAGTTTGAACGTAAAGTGGAGAATCTCTCTGAGTTCGCGAGAAATCTCGGGCAGCAAACAAATGGCGTAAAAAAAACATGTCGCTCTTGCCCTCATTGTGTTGGGAGGGTAGTCGGTGACCGGTTAAGAACAAAGTAAATGCTTCGCCTCCAGCAGGCAACCGTTGCCTTCTGCCGGGCTATGCGTGAGACGAGGTGTTACTAAAGGCAGGAACCAAGCGCTCGAAGCGCAGCATAACCAAGTTAAACGTGAAAAGTTCATACTTTTATTATTAACTTTTTAATAAACAGGGGTACCCTAAGAAAGACGACTTCTACTTACGCTGTTTGAACGCAACATCGTTAAGAAGGTTGTGTCGCAGGAATACCAATGTCGATAGCGTGACGCGAAAATCCAAGATTGGTTAATAAGGTCATGAAGTCACAGCCACATGACCGCACAAAGCTCACGTGAAACGTGACGTCATGCTTGGAATGAAAGGTATTAAGAAACATCTCATGTATCGCGAATTAAAGGTCCCGGCATGTCTCAAATGATTTAATTTTATACAGTCCTATTGAAAAATATTTTTTACCGGGATGTCATTCCCAGTAAAAGTCTATTTTACTGGATTATGGGACTCTTTTCACTTCCAGTAAAGCCAGAATTTACCAGAAGATCTCCAGATTGGCAGAATTTACCGTGTTTTTTTTCTCTTTTTTTCGGGCGTCAACGTAAGGCACTTAGGAGGAAGCTTGTGAACCGTGGTTGGTGTACGTTTACCAGATGCTGGACGATTCGGTAACAATTAAAGTAGTCCATATAGACCTGAAGGGTCTATGCGGACCCTAGCAGGGAACCTAACAGGGTCGATACCAGTGAAACAATTTGCACAGCTGTAGACATAAGCGATCAAACAAATGGGAACAACCCAGTTCTTCGTCGCAAAAGGTATCTTTCAAGGTACTCACAACGCCGCTGGGTAAATTCCTAGACGTACGGTAGTCCAACTAATAAAACCGCGCAGGTGCACCACATGGACACACACACGTATACTGTCAATAGCACGTTTAGTGAAAACCACGAACGCGCGGAATGAACATCCGCCGCCTCTAGAAAAATCACGGGCACAGATCGCAATGTCGTCCCTGATGTAGTCGCCGCGGTTGCACCAGGCGGACACAAACACACTGTCAGTAGCACGCTTAACGAAAACCACGAACACGCAAAAGGAACATCCGCCGACGTTGAGAAATCTTGGGCAAAAGTCTTTTTCGCTCGCTGGATGCTTCTGAAGACGGACGGACAAAGAGGCGTAAGAAACAGGTTACTGAAAAATATTTTCTTTTCATCTGCACACCCAGCTGCTTTGGAAGATACAGGTCGCACACATGGAACGAGAAGCCGAGACTGAGCGTCCGTTCCTGGCCGGCCGTTGCTCATTGACGGTCAAAGAAACCGGTTTTCTGAAAAAAAAAAGAAAAAAAAAAGAAAACGTCAGCAAAACAACTTTCTCGCATTTTCCCCACGAACCCAATGCGAGTGAGAAAGGGGGCGTGGGGACTCATCCTTGGTGCGAGGCACCATAATTACACACCCAGTCCCCGGCTCGTCTCGGCTTTCCCCTCCCCTCGCGCCGGCTTCGAGTGAAGTTCGGTAAACAGGGAAGCGAGTCACCCGTTTCGGGTAAGATTTCTAGCAAAACCGGGTCGTCTGGTAAACGAAAGTGGCTGCCAGTGGCATTCCAGCGAAATCTGGACACCCGATGCCGGTGAAATTCCAGTGAAATCTGTTGGCCGGCAAATAATCTAGCAAATACTGGTAAACTGGTTTCGGATGTAAACGGGTGAAAGTGCCCACCTTTTTGGATTGTCAAAACAGTTCGCTGCACGCACTTCTTGAGGATTGCAACGTCGTCCCGAGCTAAAACTCCCACTCACGTGAATGCCACTGCATTGGCGGCCACCATTACAAATTCAGTTCCCCTGCTCGTCTTGGCTTCCTTGCCTTTAGCTGTTCCCCTTGCGTCGGCTTCCAGTGAAGATTGGTGTCCGTCAAACGAGAGTACCTTCCGGTAGGATTCCAGCGACGGGTAATCGAAAGTGATTCTGGTAAACCTTCCAGGAAAGTGGCTTCCACCAAAGACTGGTAAACTACGCTGGTTTCTGGTGAAAATAAGTGGAAATTAACCCGTTTCCACCGAATGTCACTGGAAGCTTTTACGGGATTTTTCAATAGAGATTGGCTAAATACAGTAAAAACATCCCGAGGCATATTGTCTAGACACGTCTTAGCTCATCAAACCTGGCCTACGGATCCCCATGTGGCGGGTTCGAATCCCGGCCGAGGTGCCCGCAATCTGACGGAGGCTTATTACGGAGAAGGCGCCGTGTAATCGAGCTTTCGGTCGCACGTCAAAAGATCCCCAGGTGGTCCAAATTAATCCTCAGTCCTCCGCTGGGGCGTGCCAGATGCCCGTCGTTGGTTTAGCACGTAAAACCCCCAAATTTGACTTTAGCTCATCAAACCTAGCGAAAAAAGCTTGTTCGCCCCCTGCCAGGCAACCATATACTCCAACCTAAGCATAATTGCTCCGGCAGTTGTTTGAGCTGCCCAACACATTTTAGGAATACCCATGACTTTACTCTCCCCGGCATGCTGTTTATTTGTTTATGAATTTTAAATGGCGACAAAGAAAACGGTATCGGTGATACAAAAACCAACGTCACATCCTGCATAACTTGCAGGTGAAGTAGGCACTTTGCAACACGTCGTATTGGTCCCATATAACATCTGACGTCACGTTTTAGTGTTGTCAGTAGAGCCTTTAAGCCTCTCAGTACGGAAATAAAAAAATTCAATAACTTTGCTAAACAAAATTATTCTAACTTGTAATTTGGGGTAATAGTTTGGATGTGTCTTTCAGTATATTGAACCGATTTTGGGATGAATCCGTGATTATCAATATGTGGCTTTAACTCTGGAGTCATTTTTAAAAATATCAATATTATAAAACATTAGTCGAAATAAAGATGCTCATCTTACCCTGCGATAAAACTTTATACAAGTCGAGTTTTTGGCAGTAGTGGTAAAGTATAATATGGTGGGTGTAACAGCTTCAAAATACGAGGACAATGAAAGGAACAGACACGACTGGACAACAGCTGTTGTCCTGTCGTGTCTATTCCTTTCATTGTCCTCGTTTTTTGAAGCTGTTACACCCACCATGTCAAACTTTTACCAACTCGCCCAATTCAACACCTTGTTATGGTAAGAATAAATCTCTCAAATTCACAATAAACTGTCGAATTGCGAACAGATCAAACGATCAAGATCGAAGAAAGACATCCAACGAGGAAACGGGTTTACTTATAAAAGAATTACACGCACACAACGCAATCCTGTTTCCATAATGAAACAAAAGTATCCTTCATTTAGAGGTTTTAGCGCAGTTACTTGGTCGACGCAGAAAATCCTAATATCTTCACTTTAAAGCAAACAAAAAATTGTGAACTAAAACTTTTCTTATTTTTTGTAGCCAATGTATCCCTGTGGTTTGGAGTGCAGAAAACGACCACGTCTGGATTGGTTTACCGCAAGCGGTTCGCCCTCCTAAGGGGCAGTGAGAGCAATGGAACCTGGATTAAGATGTCAGTCAAGGTTGGCAACTGGTATCCTGGTGTCAGGGTAAGCTTTTTTTGCAACTTTGAGACCATTCTAAAGACCTGTGACTGATAAAAAAAACGTTCACAGTGTCTGCCTTTACAAGCCGTTTATTTAACTTTAAGCATTATTTCTGCAGTCGCCGAAACCTTAAGAAACGTTGGGAGTAACTTATTACCTTCAACATTCTTGCATCGTTATTTGTTCATCGGCTTTCTTATCCGCTAAGTTTGCAATAAATCATTGGCGGCGGATTGATGTTAAAATTCCTAAAACACGCCAAGGACTTTGTTTCTTAATCTCTCAGTGATTATGGTGATGTGAGCAAGAGATGGACTTGGTTACAATTTCACTTTAGTGCTTCCGGAATTGCTTCCACTCCATTACAATTAAGCTACATTAAAAAATGTGTGCGTTTACCAAATAAATAGAGAAGCAATGTTGGCCACGTGTGACCGACATGCCTGTTAATTGTGCGATTTTCTTCTTCTGTATGTTATTTTTGTGAGAACCTCCTATCAATTAAATTTGATCTTGAAGATATTCTGAAATTCAAAACGACGACGTAAAAGAGTGCCAATGTAGTATAAATGTTCATATTACTTTTTGCTACTTGTAAGTTTGACACACGTGCGTCAAATTTACGATAAAATTTGACGCACATGCGTCAAATAAAAGGACAACTCTAAAAGAAATTTCAGGGTTGTCCTATTATTATAATTTAAGGCTAGAAAGACACCATATTGATCGGATACGTGTGGCATCAGAAACTATGACTGGCACGCCAACAATTATTGGAACAGATTATTTATTTATCAGTCACCACCATTGACTCTTTAATCAATTTTTGATATCAGAATATTTCGATTTTCCAGCCACCGTCTTCTGAAAATTTTAGTTGCTCTTCGGTAACTAACATAAACCCTTTGATCATTCATTCTACAAAAATCAATCAAAGTTGTTTTATTTATTCATCAGTCACCACCTTAGAGTGTCTGATATTTCGTCAAATAGCATCAAATAATTTTATGCTATTCAACACACACAGTCGAAATATTTGATGGTTCATTACGTTATACTAATATTATTTTCATACGCATATTTTCAATTTAATGTGAGATTTTATTGGGAACCTTGATTTAACCGCTGCTTTCCTGTTAAAAACTATTCTGCTCAAATGTTGTTTCTTTACTGTTATAAATGAGGGTTATTTACCGCATACTTTATTTGAAAACAGCGGGTCTATTCCTATTCCGGCGTTTTTTTTTCTTTGTTTTTTACCTACTCAATCTAATTTTTCTACGGGATACAGTGGCATGCTAGATTACCTGTGCTATTTCTAGACTGCTAGATTTTGGAATACTTTTCCCGGCAGGCCATTTATTACCTTTAAATTTAAAATAACTATGCAGAAAACGGCAAAGGAAGGTTGTGCCAAAACCAACCTTCAAGTTGTGTCGCGTTCTTCTGTGGGCAGATGTAAAATGGTGAATGATTTATAAGTCGAGCAGGCATTCCTGAAAGAAACAGTATTTTGCGCGTTTATTTTTTTTTTGCTCAAAATGTTTCAGTACTTTTTTTACGCCATCAGACTTCTTGTAACCCGTCGGGTGCAAGCTGCACCGCTTCCAAATAAAAAAAAAAATGACGTTACGTTTTTAGTGTTGTTTGCAAAGCATCTCAGTCTCGCAACAAATTTGAAAATTTAATAACTTTGCGAAAAATAAATATTGTTATTTGTAATTTTGGTTCTTAGTTCAGGTTTGTCGGATAATCCATTGAATCAATTTTTAGTTAAATCAAATAAACTCTAGTTTTTTCCGGTTTTTTCAGTTCTACTTCTTGAGTGATCAGAAACATGCCAGTATCGATGGGATCGAATACCGTGACTGCCACCCAGACACGCGGAGCGACACCTGTAAGTAAACACGACTTCTTTAATCACAGCTGGAGGTTACCGTGTATTTGGTGTTCGTGTTTCGGCAGAAACGTTTAACGGCTGCTCCCTATTTTATAGTCTGATAAATAATTTATGAACAATATCTATGTCATGTGATGCTGTTATTGTTTATGTAGCGACCGTTTGCCTTACTGCAGTAGGTCATCCGAAGAAAAACAACCACGGGGAAAATTTGCTTTTGTTTTATATAAAAAGTACGTAGGCTTTGTATGCGAATTTGTCGCTACAGTTTACGACAGGATATGGGACATTTTGACGTGAACAACTTTACCATCTTCTAGTGCACTGCAGTCTCTTGGAAGAGGTTAACAATTTATTCTTGGGCACAGTAATTATGTCTATGTGGTGTACAATATTAGTAAGATTTCACTATCGTTTCGGGGTTAGAAAACCGAATTTTACCGTGCAAGGTACAAAAAGATTCCTAGCGAGATCAAAATCATCTAAACCAAGAAGAGGTTTCTACGTCTTATTTTGGACTCTTGAAGCCGACATATTGTGCTCATCTTTATCAAAATATTCGTTCAAAACTTAACGATTATCGAATCGAGTACTTTTACATTTCATTGTCATGACCTCAGTCTCCAGCAAAGTCGAAATTCTTGAACGGAGGTAAGTAGAACTGCATACCTCGTTCCACTCGAGTCCGGCTGTAGCCGACCATACCATCCGGTGGATAAAATCGAGTAGCACCAAAAATGCGCAATCATGGCACTGGTTTTCTTCGTGGAATTGCAAGCATCGGCTCAACAGTCGCAGAAAAAAGTGCGGGGATCAGGCCGCGTTCACCGTGCGCAATTGGCTTAGCCGTGGATAGCGAATGCGCGAAGACGATGGGCGCCATGACGATAGACTTTTGGCGCGGCTTGACTGAATATTCATCAGATCCTAGCGTTGACCGTGGTGGGACTTGGAGTGAAACCAAGTATAGCACCAGGAAGATGGCAGGACAACGAAAGTGCGGCGTCACTGTGACTCGGCATATTCCTGTTGCTGGGTTCGGGATGCACTTGTTTGCACCTCATCTTCGCCCAACGAGCTTGAGTATCATTTTAGAGCGGTAAGCTGAAACGCACAGTCTGCGGTGGAAATGGCACCCCCGCCTCCCGGTTGCCACCATTTTCCCTGTTTGCCACGTTAGTGATCACGTGACGTCTAGATGGCTGCGCCTAGAGGTGGGCCAGATCAGACTGGCCAGATCTCGGTCAGCAGATCGGCCCACTGGGGCTGATCGAGTGGGTACGAGTTACTCCGGCGGATCTGGTCACGTGACAAGACAGAGTAACTGAACGCAGGTAAGCTCTCGAACGCCAATGTACAGAACCTTTATACCCTAAGAAATTTTTGGAACACGGCCATGCTGACCCCGCGATCTGGCTAATCTGATCACGCCCGCCTCTGGGCGCAGCCATCTTAACATCACGTGATCACTAATGTGGCTAACGGGCAAAATAACGGCAACGGGGGGGGGGGGGGCGCCATTTTGGCCGCTGGTTAACCACTCTAAGTTTACTCAAGCTCGTTGCCTTCGCCCCCTTTTTTTCTTTTTCTTTTTTTTTTTTTTTGAAACCGCCTTGCTTTCTTGGCGCTGGCTTGATTCCATCTGGGCGCGCTCTAGCCTGCCGGCAACAGCCAGGCGGCGCTAGCAAAGTGAGAGCCGACAGTTATACCCTGTCTCGTTGTAACTTGGGGTTATGAAGTATAACATGATAACTCCATCACAGTATGGATTTATAAAACGCAAGTCGACAGAATCTGCCTTACTTGTCTTAAAAGAATTTATTTTACAAAGCTTTGAAAACAAAAATATGGTTCTTGGAGTCTTTATAGATTTCACCAAGGCGTTTGACTGCCTCAATCATAAAATTTTACTATCGACATTAGATAATTATGGGATTCGAGGGCACGCTTTGCAGCTGATAAGATCTTATCTGGAGCATCGAGCGCAATATATTTATATCCAATTGGAATTCTTCCACTATAAAACCTATTCCCTCTGGTGTACCACAGTATATTGGGCCCCTTCCTCTTTAACATGTCCGTGAATGATATAGTCAATATTAATGTAAGCGCAAAATTTGTAAACTATGCTGATGACACGAGCATACTGTTTTCTGCAGATGATCCTGATCTGTTATTCGATATGGCGAATCGGGCCCTGTCTAGGTTATAAACGTGGAGTCATTACAACGCATTACAAATAAATGTAAATAAAACCAAAGCCGTGCATTTTCGTCCTAAAAATAAGCTCGTTACCATTACCAAGGACATCGTTTTGAATTCAACCAAAATCGAGATTGTGAATTGTTTTAAACTCTTAGGTGTCACGTTTTCTGAAAATATGTCGTGGGAAAGTCATATAAACTCGCTTATTCCAAAGCTATCCCAAACTGTGGGCACGTTAAATCGTCATCGTTATATTTTACCAACAAGCGTTAAATTATTAATATATAATTCTCTATTTTATTCTCACTTAAATTATTGCCATTTAGTTTGGGGAACAACAACTTTAACAAACCTAGAAAAGTTACATGTATTGCAAAAAAAAGCACTGAGGGCTATAGCTGCCGTCTCGTATGATTTTCACATAGCTGGCTTATTTCAGACATTTCGCGTCGTAAACGCGCATACATTATATGATTATAGGTTTAGCACTAGCCTTAAAGTAGAGCAACTTAAAGACACAACTTTTTAACAGATCTTGGAAATTTATCAAAAAATGTTCATAATTACCCTACCCGAGGTGCTGAATGTTGGGAGGTGGCTACATCAAGAACAAACTATGGCAAACAAATGCTTAAATACACTCTCCCTAATCTACTCAATTCGTATAAGACTACAAGTATAGATTGGGATAAGTTATCCCTAAGATAAGTAAAATCATCTTTTTTCTCTAGCAGCTGAAGGTAGTTGCCTTTCTTTGTAATCTTTGTGACTAGTTTTTGCATAATTTTATCTCTGCTGTCTGTCCTGCCTCAATGTAAAAAAAGGGGGAAAGAAATCTAAAAATTGTTTTAAAATGTGTGATAGCGACAATCATTGTACATTTTTTTTTTCTCCTCTGGAATATCGTTTTTTCCGGCTCTGTTGCTGCTTTCTGTAGGCGGTCAGGAACCCGTCAAGCTGTACCTGACAGCTTTTTTCCCTGATCGTCACAATCCTATAGTGGAAAATAAACATTATTATTATTATTATTATTATTATTATTATTATTATTATTATTTAATGTTACCTTATCCAATTGCTCTATATTCTGTTTAACTGAAACATGGTTGTGTTCTAGCATCGGCTCCTCCGATTACTTCCCTCCTTGTTTTGAGGTGCACCGTCGCGATCGTGATTCTACCCCGCGGAGCAGAACGGGAGGTGGAGTGTTGGTCGCAGTCGACAGGCGCTACCGCTCTAGGAGACGCGAAGACTTAGAGAAATTTCCCGAGAGCGTATGGGTCGAGATTGAGGCTGCAAAGGGAGTACGCGTTTTAATCGGTTTATTTTACCTCCCTCCCCAGACACCGCCAGATGAATTTTATAGTTGTCTTGTTGGCATAGAGAATACAGTGAATGACTTACAGGGATGCGAAGTCTTAATCTTGGGGGATTTTAATGCTCCTGGAGTCAACTGGCCGCAGCTTGATGTTTTTACGGACAACTTTTACTGCAGGCAGAAAGGCACCCAGCTCTTAAACTTTTCTTCTTTCCTAAATCTCAAACAACACAATAATGTTCTGAATCACCAATTTAATGCTCTAGATTTATGCTTCTCAAATATGGACAGCGTGCGTGTAGCACGGGGTGAACTGCCATTAGTTCCTCAGGATACATATCATCCTGCACTTGATATTGTACTTTCTTTCGAGAATTCCTCTGTTCGTGCTAATTCTGGTGATTCCCCGCCGCACACCTCATATAATCTGTCGGCAGGGGACTATGTCGGGATGCATCATTACCTCACGAGTTTTGATTGGGCATTGATCTTGGAGTCGCCTGATGTGAATGACCAGGTCATGCTCTTCACGCAAACTGTTCGGAAGGCCATGGATACTTTTATTCCGTTAAGGACAGTTACTAAATCTCGCTTTCCTAACTGGTTTTCCAGTGAGCTAAAAACACTACTGAAAAGAAAGGACTTCTTTCACAGGAAGTTTAAGAAAAGTGGCCTTTTAAAGTGGGAGGTGGAATTCAAGAACTGCAGAAAGCAATGTAAGACGGTCCTGGATCGCGACCGCCGGGCTCATCGTTGCTCAGTGGAATCAGATCTTGTCAATAATCCGAAGAAATTCTGGAAGTACATTAATTCACGTTCTGGGAGGCATATAGAGTCGAAGATTGTCCTGGATAATCACGAGAGCGATTTGAAGTCCGTGCCTGAGTTATTTGCTGAGCATTTTAGGTCCGTCTACAGGGATAGTACGCAGCGTTCTGCACCTGTGCTGCCTCACTTAGATGGGTTTGGTGACTTGTTAAGTTGCATTAATGTTGATGAAGAGTCCGTACGATCCTGTATTAAGAAAATGAGAGCAACATTATCAGTAGGGCCCGACGGCATTCCCTCTGCGATTCTCAAAACGTATCACGACATATTCACGCCGGTACTGTGCTCTATATTTAACAACTCGTTAAGGTTGGGAACCTTTCCTGAGACGTGGAAAGTCGCTGCTGTTGTTCCAGTCTTAAAGTCGGGAAAAAAAGGTGATATTTGTAACTATAGACCTATTTCTCTTCTCTCTCCATTTTCTAAGCTCTTTGAAATGGTAGTTCATCAATTCCTGTCTTTCAAATTTCGAAACTTAGCAATTCCCAATCAGCATGGTTTTATGAGCGGCAGATCAACAACTACCAATCTCGTTAGCTTTATGTCTGCTGCATCTCGTGTAATATGTAACAGAGGTCAGTTGGACGTTGTCTACTTTGACTTAAGTAAGGCTTTTGACGTAGTCAATCACATTATTCTTTTATCC